TGAATGTGGTGGGGAGGGGGGGCTTTGCCACAGTGAATCATTCAGCTCTATTCAAAGGGACCCCCAGTTGCAGGCCCTTCACTCACAGCTCGGCTGCTATTGCTGGCATGCAGGTGGCCAGTGAAAGCTAGCTCCACTGAGGGGTACGTAGAATAAACATTAGTGAAAGGGCATCAAGGAGCCCCGGTGGCACAGTGGTTAAAGCGTTCGACTGCTAACTGAAAGATCAGCGGTTTGAACCCACCAGCCTCTCCTCTGAAGATGCAGCAGTCTGCTTCCATAAAGATTACAGCCTAGGAAACCCTACGGAGGGTCCTATAGGGTCGGTATGAGTAGGAGTCGACTCAATGGCAGTGTGTTAAAGGCATCAAAATGAGACCATATACCTGAATAAAACATGCTGTATGTACACACTGAGACACTTCACATTGTTCACCAGGACATCACAACAGGGGTAAAAGTAGCTCCTGCTTGGCTCTGAGCTGGGAGGTCAGCAGCCGGCTTGTTATTGTTGTTAGCCGGAGTGGAACTGGCCCCCAAATCAGAAGCAATACCAGTAAAGCATATAAATATATATATAGAGAGAGAGATTTATATCACAGAAATGGTTCACACGGTTATAGAGGCTGGAACATCCCAAGTCTATGGATCAGGATAGAGGCTGCTCCTGATGCACATAGCCATAGGGGCTGGCAAACCCAAGATTGGCAGGTCGGTAAGCAGGGCTCTTGTTCACAGACTGTGAAGACTGATGAATCCCAAAGATCACTAGGCAAGGCCGCAGGTAAGCTGCTAGCTCAAGTCCCAAGAACCAGAGATCAGATGAACAGGAGCCAGCTGCAGGATCCAGAACGAGCAAAAGCCCACAAGCCTTGCTAGAATATCCACTAATATTCAATGCAGTCCACTCGCCCAAGGAAACTCCCTTTCAACTCATTGGCTACTCACAGCAGATCTCATCGTGGAGGTGATCACATAATATCAAATCTCATCATGGAAGTGATCACACCATCATACGACTATCAAATCACTGAGAATCATGTCCCGTCCCAGCCAAGTTGACACACAACCTTAACCATTACACCCATTTTTTCCTACTAGGGTTGTTTTGTTATTGTCGATTTGTAGGAGCTCCTTGTATAGTCTTAACATTTAATCCTTTGTTGGGTTCGACTGCAAATATCTTCTGCCAACTATCATGCCTACACTTAGGTCTTTTGCCAGCCAAAGCAAACTAAAGCTCAGACACAAGATACAAGATAAAAAAAAATAGGTATAAAAGACAGAGGAGAATGGCAAGTGAAGGAAGTAAGATGAAATGGGAGGTAGGCTGCAGAGTTCAAAACTAACATATTAAAATAAGAAGATGAAAATACAAAATATTTACAGAATAAAGACAGAAAAATTAAAATAAAAACTGAAATGAGATTTTTTTATACCTAAAAGTACAAAATAAAAGTTAGAAACAAACAAGTAAGATTGTAAAAAAAAAAAATTAAAATAAATGTTCAAGTAAAGACACATTCTAAACGTAAAAAAATTAGGAAACTCACATTTTTATTCCTTTTAAAACTTCATGGTAAAAAGAGAAATAATACAGAGGTCAGAGAAGCAAAGATTAAAGGAACAAACATAAACACAAGTAAAAACAAGAAACAAAGAACAGCTAAGAGCAAACAGCAGTAACAGCAGATACTAAGCAAACCTACGACTGTACTTCAAATCAGAACAAGCCTAAAACAGAAAACAAAGCAGTGGGTATCAAGAGAAAAAGGCTAAAATTAGCAAACTAAAGGCAGACTCATAAGTCCTTATCAGCTGTCCTGCTCTCAGGCCCTTGGGGTCCCAATGTGGAGGACGACAGCAGCAGTGGGGAGACAGGAGCCTGGGGTACCTTTAGATCATAGATAGGTTCACCTCATCAGTCTCAGGCCTGCCCTGGGCTGTGGACAAGGCCCCAGATGCCTTGGGCAGCTGCCAACTATGGGCCTTACACCTGGTCATGGAGACTCTGGGCATTAACCACAGTGGCCACACACTACCACACCACACCCACTCCCTGGTGACCCTCCCTGCCTCTCTGGCTTGCTCAGAGGCTTCAGTAGAACCTACAGGTGGCAGGTGAGGCCACGTACACCAGAGAGAGGGCTGGGGAAACGTTGCACAGGAATCTCCTTGGCCCTGCTTAAGCAGACAAGAGGCAACGTGTTTGAACAAGTTCAATACCACCCAACAGTGCCCAAGGTAACATCTCTGAGATTCGCCAGAGGGAGCAATGACAGTGGGGGCCGAAGGGCCACAGTCCTCTCCAGCTCTGCCATGCAACATCTAGCTGTTTACCCAAAGTGGGCAGCTGTTTGTAAAACGATTTGATTGGCTATTTCCAGTTTCAATGGCTCAGAAAAAATAGATTAAACTGACAGGCAACTCAGAGTTCCACCATCCTGTTTCATCACAAGACTGGAAAGCTGAGGAAAAATCCAGATGACTCATTGGAGGGGTGGAAAATAGCTGATCTTATCTTAGGGTGAAGTAAGGTATATGGGGGCTGAGAGCTGCTAATTTGAACCCTTCCAGTGAGATATAAAGACAGGTAGTTGCCCAGAGCCTCCAAAGTTCACTTGAAATTCAGGTGCGTGGCAATTAAGATACATTTTCTCAGACCAATGATGCTTGGCGCTGATGTTGCCAGCTGGCCCACTCTTATCCCACAACCCAGTCGTCCTCAGACCTGGGGACTGCATCAACTGCTTTCTCTTTTCTCACTTTGAATCGGTTTTTAATTGGGACGCTGATGTAGGATTGTTTGCATTTTATTTTTCCAAGGAAAACATTAAAAATATAAAACTACCATCTAATTTGCCATCATTTCCTAAAAGAAAGGACATTTTAGCACCAAAAAAGCTCAGACTAAAGGATGGTCCTTTATATAGAATAAAGTTAAGTTTTAAAAAATGCTCATTATTATGCATTCTTCACTTTTGCATGATACTCCGGAAAACTCATCGCGGGCCAACATTGGTGCTTACGGCCACGACGTGCCTGAAGCTGAGTTCCAACACCACTGATCACAGTGCTTTGGGAGAAAATCCAGTGGCTTGTGTTGGGAGCCAAAGCTCGTGTTTTGCACAACTGTGCAAAACCAAAGGCATCCGCTTTCACTGGACTCTGATGTTCCCCCTGACCTCCCAGGGACAGCTCACCTTCCTCCCTGGCTTGGTGTCTGCATGTTTCAGCCCTCTGTCACATCTGTCTCACCAGTGATTCCCAAGCACACCGCATCATCCAGGGGAGGGGACACTTTTAAAAACAGAGTCCCAGGCCCACCACCTGGGGGTCACGTCTAGTAGCTCCAGGATAGGATCTTACCATCATCAGATTTAGGTGCCCCAGCCTTCTACCCCCACCACCCAACACCTCCCCCCCGCAATATGGCCCTTGCTCAGGCTATGAAGTCACTAATGACCAGCTGTCAGCACTGGCTCCCCGAAAGCAGAGTTGAGAGCAGGGATGGAATGCTGGGGGAACAACCAGAGACTGAGGGCAAAACCCAGTTCACGAAGGGATTATGGCACTGGTGGCCGGCTGTGCCGACACAGGACCGTGGAGGCAGGGGACTGTGGGACTGGGTTCACAGCCAACGTGGAAAGCACAGCTGGCAGGGATGGACAGGAGAGCAGAATGTGAGCCTACCTCTGTGCGTTCTCAAGGAGAGCATCTTGTTGTAGGGAAGCCTCTCTCGGATGCTGCCCTGGCCTCGAACAACGTGGCTTCTGCAGTCTGTCTTCCTACCTCCATCCTGGTCCACACATCCATTCGCTCGTCATCACGCATCTCCACACCACCCCTGTGCCGTACACAAAGCCCAGGTGTCCAACAACCATTTGCTCACTGGACCTGGTGACTGGCAGGAGCACTGAAGCCCCAGGCTGGCTGAGCCAGGGGACTCCTGTGATGGCAACATCCAGCCCACAGGGAAGCCAGCTGCGGGAGAGAACGGGCAAGGTCTTTGTGAGCCACAGACGTGGGAAACCCCCATCTCTGGGCCTACAGGACATCACTGCCTCCAGAGTTTTCCAGCACAAGCTCTCCTCCAACCCCAGCCCTCACCAAGCTCCTGGCTTCAGAAGGAAGATACGGCAATGTAGTGGGAAATGTCACTAACAGTATGTGAAAACTGTGTGCAGCCCAAGGGGACAGATTCCTGACGGATTACTTTGGGGACAAAGTCTTGTGAGTTGCTAGGCCATCAGGCCCTGCTGGTCATGTCTGGGTGCTGAGAGTAGAGCCAGGGCCTTGCACATAGGCCTCTTGTCTCTCAGCTGGCTGGGACACCACCCCACAGTGCTCTGTGGTTCCTGATGTAGATCTAAGGGGCCCTTGACCAAGGCCACAGGATGCTGCAGCTGCAGGCCTCTGACAGAGGGTCCATTCCCACCCACAATGGGCTGTAACACAACACAGGATTCGAAGCTCAGAGGCCTGCCCTGGTGAGGGTTGCCCCCAGAGAGGCGGTGGCACAGGGGGAACGGGTGTGCTCAGGATCAGAACCCCAAAGCCAGGGTGACAAGCAAAGACGGGCTTGCTCCAGCCTGCTCCCCTGCGGACCATTTGGATCTCGGTCTCAAACCCCAGAGAGTGTGGATCCTGCACCCTTTCCCCTGTCGACCCCAACAGAAGCTTCTTAGGATCAGTGCCAGCCCTAAAGCCAGACTTCAGAAACAGTAAGTTACTGACTTCTCTACAGAGAGATCCCAATGGGAAGCTGGCAAGCATTAACTCCTCTTTGGGACTTCATTTAAACAACCCCCCCGCCGTGGTTTGCGAATAAGGTCTCAAGGATATTCAGTCACATAATCTTGCTTTACAGGGCTTCCTGGGTTCGTGCACCCCAACAGCTGCTGTATGCCACAACATCAGGCTTCTTAGCTACCGGAGACCTGCACTTGGAAAAATTAATTGGACCGTCTTAAAATAGAGACCACAAAAGCTATGGATGGGAGGGGATACATTTATTTTAGGTATAAAGTTTTACTATTATTAACAAGGTATCACTATTATTTACCTGTTTATAAAATGAAAATAAAAATGACATACATGTTTGGTGCCAAAAGTGGCACATCCAAACTGATGTCAGTACAAAAATAAATTTTCAAGCTACGTGTTTTTAAAATAAATGTCACTGACACAGTAAGGGGGTGGGGGGAAGGGTCTGTGTCAGTCACTGTGTTGAAAGCAGACATCTCCATGGCAAAGAAGCTGGGGGGCAACAGTGACACCAGTGCCTGCTGGAACAGCCACCCCATGTGTTCTTCCAAGAAACCAAGCAAATAAACAAACAAAACACAAATATGCAATAGCCTCTGTTCCTGAGCTACAGAAGTTTAGGCCATCTAAACTGATGTGAATCCCTGCTAAAGAAGACCCCTGGGGGTCTGCGCTGATAAGCTTTCACTGTGCTCTGCTGGTGGCAGCAGGACACAGCATCGCACTCTGAGAGGAAGCTCAACCCACTTGGGAAAGAGAGAAATCCTTTGCTAACAAGCAGCAGTGCACAGTCCTCTCTGTCCCTCGCCAATCCCTTGGCAAGTCTCCCAGCCGCAGAGAAACGGGGACACGGGCAGAGGAAAACCAGAAGCTGCTTGGTTTGGAAGGCCCTGTGCCTGCCAGACACACTCCTCGGTGATTCTGGCAGAAATCCTCAGTTTCCAAGGTCTCATCCCTTCCCTGATCCAGGCTTTTTCACCCCTGGCAGCGCGGATACAGCCGTGGTCCTGGCAGGTCCTCTGTCCTCTGTCCATCCCACATGCCGCATCAGCCTTCAGTGGCTAACATTCCTCCTTGTTCCCGGTCCAGCTGGACCACGGCTGAGTGCCTGCTCGATGTGCATGCTGGGATTGCGAGCACTGAGTGAGCCAAGGGGCACCGCCTGCCTACTCCCGCCTGCCTGGGTGCGGTGCCCCATGATGCCTGCCAGTGCAGCGTGATGGCTGCCCATGCAGAAACTCATCCAGGATCCCGGCGAGGAAGAAAATGCTGAGGCGAGTGGGAAGGAAGCGGCTAGTCAACAGGCTACGGCCTCAGAGCAGCTGAAGGTTCCACGTGAGCTGATGCCAGCTCACCCGTGGGGCTGGGTGGTCAGCGGCATGGTGGAGAGGACACCAAGCAGCCCCTGTCCACTGTAGCCGAGCTCTGCTCACAAGTCCTGGACCTTGGTCCTTTTGGCTTTCAGGGACAGGTGCTGCAGGAGAAGAGAAAACATCAAAATAGGGGTCTGTCAGACACATAAACCAGACTTCCACATAATTCACATGGTGTTGCTGTTCCTTGCCATTGAGTCAGCTCCACCTCACAGAGGCCCCGTGTATAACAGAACAAAGCACTGCCCAGTCCTCACCATCTTCACGATCCTAGGTGTGTCTGAGTCCACTGTGGCGACAACCGTGTGTTTTGAGTGCCTTCCAACTGTGTGTTTTGAGTGCTAGCACTGTCTTGGGCAATATTCTGTTGTGATCCATAAGGTTCTCACTGGCTAATTTTTAGAAGTACATTGCCACACCTTTCTCTTCCTAGTCTTTCTTAAGTCTGGAAGCTCCACTAAACCTGTCCACCGTGAGTAACCCTGCTGGTAGGTGAAATACCAGTGGCATAGCTTAGAGCATCATAGCAACACACAAGCCACCACAATACGACAACCTGACAGAAATGGGTGGTGGATAATTCACACAGAATCAGCCAAATACAAATCTTCCATCTGTTCCACACCTTCTCAATAAATGCTGTGCCCCTCGGAAAGTAACAAGAGGAAAAGAGCGCAAGTGACCGACAAAGGAAAAGGCCTTAAGTAAGCAGATAGCAGCCCCAAGGCTGAGCCCGGTCACAGAGGGCTGTGCAGGAAGTGTTCGATGAAAGGTCTGCTTTCTGAGACATGGGCAATAATGAGTCCCCTCTGCCCCAGCTACAGCACGGCACTGCAACCAGATGCCTGCACTCCAGGGACTGGGCTCTGGTTGGACAGCACCTCACATTTCCAAGAAGTTCCTGAGAATGGCCAAGGAAAGGCATCCTCTCCCTAGGAACAAGGAGATCAATCAATTTATCGAGCACCTCAACATGGCAGGTACCTGTGAAGGCTGGAGACAAAGACACGGTCCCTGTCCTATGGAGTGTACGGGTGCACTGGAAAGACAGGCAGGAAGAAGATGCCTCCCAGAGACACATTTTTCTTTTCAGAAATGTCTCTCTCTACCAGTAGAAATAACATATGACACATGGCATTATAATCATGGGCATCAGATCAGAGGGGCTGAGGGATAAAATGTTCTTTAGCTTCTAAGGTAAAGCCCAGAGTGCTAGAACCCTAAAATATGCATGTCAGGCAGAATGTGTGAATCACCAACTGTGATATCCCTGAGAGCCCATTAATAATCATAAACAAACAGCAAGAGCACCTTAGATGTGCTGGCCTAGCACACAGTGGGATCCTCACGTGAGGAATTCCCAAACCCCTGGCTGCTGGCAGAGCAGGCCTGCTGTTCCCCAGCAAGCTCAGTGCCTGAACCCCATTTCTAAGCACACTTACATGGCTTCAAGGCAGCAATCCCCTTTACTGACAGAGAGAACTTCAGGTGCTAAAAGAGTATGGGGTACTAAAGAAGAAACACTATACCACCACACGTAACCTCCAGATACCTAAGTGAACAAGACACAGGGCTAATGAGCTTCAAGAATTCAGACTCTCTATCCACTTATGCCTGAGAAAGGATCAGGAGAGGTCTTTGCAAAGGTCCCAGGTAAAAGGATTCCCCTTAGATTCCAAAGATATCTCCAAAAGGCAGGGAAAACCATTAAGAACTGGAAGGCACCTGTTCTCTCCCTCCCAGCTGCAGGTCTTGCTGGATTTCTCTGAATTCTCTCCTCCCTGCACATCCCCTGAAGCAACCCCTAGGACAATGGTAGACATCCCCCCCCTTAGTGTGGGAATGGAAGGTGACAGCATCATGCCTGCGGGACCATTTTTGGTGTTCATTTCTGGGAAGAATGTTGTGTATAAACAAAGCTGACTCTGGACCATTTCAGGCCTCTTTACAGAGTGACACACTCAAAAACAATGGAGATGGAAAGTCACCACCGGCTCCAAGAACAGAGCCGGGGCTGATCTGTGGGCTGTGGACAGCCGCGAGGCCCTGCATGGTGTTCAGCAAAGGAACAACTACCATACATGGGCAGCCACGGAGATCAGGAGAGCTCTTGGAGAAATCAATCAGTTTGGGACAAGTTAACAGCAGAAGTGTCTTTGGACTATTTAGTTGAGGAGAGGCCAGGTTTCAGGGGGGAAGGAGGGCCTGAGGACCCTCACCTGCACAGTGAGGCTGTTTAACTAGGTGATTGCTAAAGGTCACAGCCCCTCTAAAAATACTCCAATCACAGCCATGATCAAAGTGGAGATGATGGGCTGAAAAACAGCATTTGGAGAGAAAAAAACGCAAATGCAGAAATTTAGGCTTGTCATTTCCTTCAAACTTCTGAAGCTCTCTGCTCTTTAACTTCATGGCTCTGACCTAAAGAAACTGTAATTTTGAGCTGGGAAGGGAAAATGACTCAGCTTCTAGGCTAATTCTGTTCTCTAAGAGTCTAAGTGGATCCAAGACAATTTCAGGCTGGTTTATCCTTCCCCAACCGCATCTTATTCCTTTCACGGGCACTTCATTGCTGCGCCATTCTTCTCTAGCTTTTAGTTTGCAGCACTTCTCCCGAGCTTCTGGAGTCTGCTGCTTTCCACTTGACAGATTTTGAAGAAATACATTTTCTGTCACTTCAGGTTTATTCTCATCTGCCCGACCCAGCAGAGACAGCATTCTCTACATTTGTATCAGTCCCTGCTATAAGGTCAGATTTCCAGCTGAAATGTCTCTGCTAGGATGTGTGAAGAACTACATAAGTTCATTTTTGTTTGATTGGACAAGGTTAAAATATTTTAAGAAGATTTAAAAGAAGCAATTTCCCTTGACACTGCCCTTTGGGTAAGGGGTGGGAAGAGGGGGAGTATTGGGGGGTTGAGGCGATCCTTCCATGCATAGGAACTCAAATTGAAATAAACAAGTGAGGCAGGGCTGCGGCACTGGAGAGTGTCATCCACAGCAGGCAGCCGTTCCTCAACCCTGCTGATTGCTCCAAGCAGGAACTCAGGTCCAGTGTCATCAGATTCAACATTTCTTTCAAGAGAAACCAGAAATCCATTATCTGATGTGCAATCTCCCAATTCTTAAACATGGCAATTACGTTTTGGTTTGAAAACACTGCACAGTCCAGATCCCACCCTGATGTTGTAACAGGTTTCAGACTTTCCCTTCTGCTGCTTTTTCAAGTTCTGCTGTAAAACTGGACAAAATATCTGAGGCAACCATTTGCAGGCACTGGATTATACACGACACAGGGCTGTGATCCCCGAGAAACAGGAAACACACAGGTGAGTTCCACATTCATCCCAGCTCTCTGCCTGACTTTCCAAACCCTGGCACAAGGAAGTGAAGCCTAAACAGAAAGCAATAGTGTGGCTAGACAGAGGAAACAGAAATCAAAGTTCAAGGCTGCTGAGGCAGCTGACATTTGCAGGATGGGACATCACAAAGGCAGGAGCTCCAGGTACCTGCAGAGAGCTACCCTTAAGTCTTTGGCTGACTACTAAACTGTACATTGCAGGCCAAGAGCTCATAAGGCTGGCAGAGAACTGTTACTTAAGAGCTGTGAGCTGAACGGCGATTCTGGAGGTTTGTACAATGCTGGAAGACACTGGACTTCTAATCAGCCAGGGTGGAAAGACCTCACTAAGCATCCTAGACAAGAGTAGGGCTACTCGAGATCTGTCCTATTAAAGACAAAAATCAAGCCTCCATGGAATCAAACTAATCTGCCAGTAAACGAACTGTTAATCAGAAAAAAACCTCAACATTCTTTAAGAAAAGCCAATAAATCCAGACTCTTAACAACATAGCATCTGTAATGTCCAGTATAACAAAAAATTACTAGACACAAGAAGCAGGAAAATGTGGCCCATATAAGGATAAAAAGCAGTCAAAAGACAAAATAGACCAGACATGACAAAGATGTTGAATTAGTAAACAAGCCCTTTAAAAGACCAATTATAAATATGCTTAAAGATTTAAAGGAAAAAGTAGATGTAATGAGTGAAACATGGAGACTCTAAATAGAGAAATGGAAATTTAAAGAACCAAATGGAAATGCAAGAATGAAAAAAATACAGTATCTGAAATAAAAAATTCTCTGGATAGGCTTAAAAGCAGATCAGACACAGCAAAAGAGTTAATTGATCAGTGACCCTGAATATAGGTCAAGAGAAACTATATAAACTGAAGCATGGAAAAAAAAAAAAGAAAAATGATCAGAGCCTCAGTGACATGTGAGATAATATCAAGAGGTCTAACATAAATGTTAACTGGAGTTCCAGAAGAAGAACGGAGAGAGATATTGGAACAGAAAAAAATACTCTAAGGAACAATGGCCCCAAATTTCCCAAATATGATAAAAAAAAAAAATCAGCCCACACATCCAATAAGCTCAAAGAAACCCAAGCAGAATAAACACAAAGAAAAGCACATCATAATCAAAGTGCTGAAAAACCAAACAGAAAAAAAAATATCTGAAAATCAGCCAGAGAAAAAAGACTCATTACATACAGTGGAACAACAATATAAATGACTGCTCATAAAACCACGCAAACCAGGTAACAATAGAATGAACTCCTTAAAGTGATGCAAAGCATACGTTTCAAACATGGAGATGAAATAAAAACATTTTCAGATAAATGAATGCTGAGGGAATCTTTCACCAGCAGAAATGCACTAAAAGATACATTAAAGAAAGTTCTTCAGGGTAAAGGGAAAAGATACCAAAGGGAAACCTGGATCTATACAAAAGGATGAAGAATGACAGAAATGATAAATATGTGGGTAATATCTTAATTCTTTTAAAAGACAGTGAATTGTTTAAAATAAAAATAGTAACAACGCATTCTGGGGTTTATAATGTATGTAGAAATTAAAATACAGGACAACAGCACAAAGAATGGGATGGGGATAATTTGAAAAAATACCACTGTAGATTTCTTACATTATAATCTAAGTGGTACAATACTAACTCAAAGTAAACTGTGATAAATTAAGGATACATATTATAATCCTTAAAGCCACCACAGAAGATAAAACCAAGAGGTATAAAAAGCAAATAAAAGAAAGAACATGGAGTATCAACCCAATTAATTCAAAAGTAAGCAGTAAAGGAGGAAAAAAAGGAACAAAGACTAAATCGGACAAATAGGAAGCAAACAGCAGGACAGGAGACTTTAATCATATCAGTAAATATATGAAATGCAATTGGACTAAACACTCTCATTAAAAACACAGTACAAGTCAAACAGAGTGAGTCTGTGGGTCATATTTAGCCAGGAAGTTTGTGAACTCTGATTTACCTGTTGTCATGCCAGCCTTTCAAATATAACCAACTCTCAATCAACAATCTTGTTAGAAGAATGCATAGTCTTTTATTAATTTTCATTTTTTACAATGAATGGAACTTTTTTTTTGCTAAAAATGAAGAAGACCACAAAACTATGAATCTGCTGTACAACGCTCACTGGCCTGCTCATATGTGGGCCTGTCAGGGAAGAGAGCACACACACAATAATGCAGGTGCTCGGCACCACCCACAGTGCGCTTACACCACCTGGGCTTTAAGCTTGCACACATGTTTATAGTCTTTGTGAGGCAACCCTCATTACAGAATATTTGTACCACTCCTTAAAAATGGGCCCAAAGTTGATATAATTTCTTTGCAAATGGTTCAGAAGAACAAAGGGAGAGAGGAAGAGCTGGAGAGACCATTTCCTTTTTGTCTTATGGAGTTAAAAGGACTTAGTTTTAAATGGACTTCACTATGAAGGAAATGATACAGAGCTTTTACCCAGAATGTTCTGGGGATCTGGTAACCAAATTAGAGAATAAATGTATATTTACAAAATACAAAGCAGATAACAGACGGTTTGAGGGAGAGGCTCTGTTCATTCCTACCGTTCCTTGTTGATAAAAGTGTGGAGCCAGCTCCAACAGCCAAGCAGATTCAATAGCAGTCACATCTCTCATATAATACTTGGAGGTTTGTATAACTTCATTGTAGACAACCCTGAAACAATAAAGAAACACCAGCTGACTTCCTGTATCTTATGATGATAATCAGGAACCACAACAATTAGAGATGATGAGTTGTTTTTGCTTTAACCTTTAATAGATGTCTATTCTATAAACCATTTATATTGCTCACTTAAGCCTCATGGTCCTGAATGGTGGGCTCATAGTGTGTCCATTTTACAGGGAAGACTCTTTAAGTCCTGCATGATTTCCAGGACATCTCAGTCATCAGCACAGGAACTTTCTGGACCCTCGGTCTGCATTTACAGAACTCTGAACACAGCTAATGACTTTAGCAAATGCAGAAATAAGAGGCAAAAAAAAAGGGGGGTGGGGAACGGGGGCTTACCTAATTCTGAAAAAAAAAAAAACCAAACCCGTTACTGTTGAGTCAATTCCAACTCATAGCGACCCTGTAGGACAGAGTAGACCTGCCCCATAGGGTTTCCAAGGAGTGCCTGGTGGATTCGAATTGCCGACCTTTCGGTTAGCAGCTGAGCTCTTAACCACCACACCACCAGGGTTTCCCTTATTCTGAAAGGGACTGAGAATTGACTATAAAGAGACACAAGACTTTCTTGAATGATGAAAATGTTCTGTATCTTAGTTGGAGTGAGAGTTACACGAGTGTACACATTTGTTAAAATGCATCTTTGTATATAAATTACACATTTAAAAAAAAAAAGAGGGCTTGCCTGAGGTTAAAGGTCACAGACAACCAAAGAGCCAAGAAGATAACACCAGATCTCAGGAGCACAGAAAAAGAGTAGGTGTGGGGATATTAGCTTCTGAGGTATCTGGAGAGTTGATTCAGGGCTGCCCTCACAACTACCAACACACCAGCCACGCAGCTGCCCAGGCCTCCAAAGCCAGTGAGTCTCAGCTGACGAAGTCTCGGCTCCCAGTTAAAGGGAAGGGCCCTCTGCAAAGAGGCAGTGAGCGAAGGAGCGCTTTCTCTGCCTCCTGGACAGGCTCTATTTCCACTATCCTTTCTCTGCCCTTCACACTCCTTGGGAATGAAGCAGGAAAAAGCAAAGCCTTTTTCTTTTAGGCAACTTCTAAATTTAATCACCTGAAAGTCAGCAAGCCCTTAAAAAAGGATCCAGAATTGAGGTTTGGCTTCCCTCTTCAGCTTATCCTGCACACAGATGGCCACTGGGTAACATTTCCAAAACCCAGAACTGACCAAGTCATTCCACAGCTCAGAAGCTTCCACTGGATTTGCACTAATTACAGGATAAAGTCTAATTCCTGGTCTAGGGGAGTAGATCTCAAACTTTACCACCCATCAGGATCACCTGGAGGCACTTAAAACACAGCCTCCTGGGACCACTCCCAGCATCTGATTCAGCAGGGCTGGGCAAGGCCTGAGTATCTGCATTTCTAACAACTTCCCAGGTGATGCTGATGCTGGTCTGGGCAACACACTTTGAAAACCACTTGTCTAGGGTACAAAGTACAACGAACCTTTTTGCCTTCTAATTTATCTATCTCCCCTCCCTCTCGCCACAAATGCCCTACCTCTTTCCCAGGACTTCTCCATCTGTCTATCTGTGGTGAAGAACAAGTTGCTGTTTTTTCAATTTCCAATCCCCTGTATCTCAATATTTTTGTAAAACACAATATAAATGAATTACTAGAAAAATGAAATGAAAAAACAAAAAGACACACAAAACACAAGCCCAAATTTATTATTACTAAATCGGGCAGACACAAACTTAACCTGTCAAATTGCCACAAAAATTTCTAAATGCCTCCAATCAACTTCTGTACTTACCTTTTCACAAGCAGTTACAGACCGAGCCTTTGAATTGCACTGGTCCAGCCATACCAGTGATTCCCCATTTCCCAAAGACCTGAGGTTCTTGGAGTAGCTTTGCCGCTACTTCCTCAGTCTGGGATGCCCTTCACATCCTTTTCTGCCTGGAAAACTCTTGTTTCCAGGTCCAGGTCAAATGTTTTCTCCTCCATGAAGTCAATCCAGACTCTGCCTAGCACATGACGTGCCAACCCCAACACTTCACACATTCCTCTGTCAAAGCCCTTCCCCTAAGGTTCTGAAAGCTGTGCGTCTCCACTTCAGGGCAGTGAGTTACCAAATTAATCTCCTCAAAGCTGTGGTAGCACAGAATCTAGCATCTGGTCAGTGGGTGAGAACAAATGTTTGCTGAGTGGGTGAGTGAGGAGATGGCTAACACTGTTTGCTTGAGAAGGTCGCTGATAAAGCAGAAACTCTATAGAAGATGCAATGTAACAAAGTCAACCAGAGTGTAGGGAGTACCTGTCCTCCAGGCCTTGTGCCAGGCTTGGGGGCCCAGAGACAGACAAGCACTAGGCCTTGCCTTCCAAGCAGTTACAAGGCCGAGAAGTGGCAGGGACTTACCAGCGAGGCGGCTTCTCTGCATAGAGGACTGATGCAGGGTGGATGTGCAATTCGTGGTCATCACGGGTAGTCCTGCAAAAAGAAAGAATTGTGTCCAAAATACACGTTAAACACCTAAAGCAAGACTTTACTACAGATAAGCTTTGTTTTGTTTTAACAATATTTTATTGTGTTTTTGGTGAAAGTTTACACAGCAAGGTCGGTCCCCCTTTAACAATTTCCACACAAATTGATCACTGACATTAGTCACATTTTTCACTTTGTGTCAACATTCTCACTGTGTTCCAGTTGTTCACGTCCAGATTCCCTGCCCCTTTATCTTCTCACCTTTGCTTTGGAATAAATGTTGACCTTTTGGACGCATACAGACCTTTTTTTAGTAGAGCACCAATCTAGTAGGTAATATCCTTTAGTTTGTATGTCATTCTGCTTTTCTGCTAAAAGGTGATCTCGAGGGGTAGTTTTGGTTCAAGGTTTGAAGCTCATCTCAGAACAATAGTCTGAGGGAGTCCTCTGGTCTCAGTGGTCCAGTTAATCTGGCCATTTTTATGAATCTGAATTTTGTTCTACATTTTTCTCCTCCTCTAACCAGAATCATCTATTGTGGCCCCAGTCAGATCAGTCAGTAGTAGTAGCCGGGCACCATGTAGTTCTTCTAGTCTAAAGGTAGTTGAAGTCATGGCTTGTGCAGACTTGTTTCATCCTGTGATTTTGGTTACCTTCTTACTCTTTTCCTCCTGACAAGTAAAGACCAACAGCTGTATCTTAGATGGCCACTCACAAGCTTCTAAGACCCCAGACACTACTCACTGCACTAGGATGCAGAACATGAACTTTGAGAACTGTATTACGCCAACTGACTAAGTTGTCCTGAGACTAAGGTCTTAAGTCTTCAAACCTAGAAAACCAATCTTGCAAGGTGTTTGGTTATGTCTGAGAAGTATCTGTAATTGTGTCTTCCATGAATATGTGCCTGCACACACATATCTGTACTTACATGTACATACAGATACTTCTATCTGTGCACGCTTACCCATAAGCCTATACACATACATATGTGACCATACACTCATTTTTTGGCTATTGTTGGTGGTGTTGCTAAATTAAATATGTCAATTTCTTTAGTACAAGCATCCTTTTCTCTTGAGCACTTCTTAGTGACATCATTTACTTTGGTCAAGCTGCACTCACTACACTCATATTCAGGGCCACTTTTCCCATCACCAAAAATAACAAATATTTACGATGTAGAGCCTGCTTTTCCCTCCTTCCCCTCTCTCCAACCACCACTGAACACTGGTCTCTTTATATACGTCTATTCTTGTCTTCTTGTAAAAAAGGGATCATATAATATTTGTCCTTAAGTGCCTGACTTATTGCATTTAGCATTATGGCCTCCAGGTCCATCCGTATTATGTTTCACAGTGAGGTGTGACTCATTACTTTTGTGTGGTCTCTCCATGGTCTTGTAACTCTCACCTAGGTGACTGGGCAGGACTGTCTGATGGGGTAACTGTGACCCACTGGGGAGATCGGTCAGTTTTGCCTTAAAAGACAGCCTTGGGCTGTTGATCTTGATTCTCCTCTCCCCTTGTAAAGTTAGAGGAGATCAGACACCACTCCCCACACCATTTTTACACACGAATTCATCATTGTTCTTTATGGTTGCATAGTATTCCACTGTATGTGTGTACCACATTTTGCTTATCCATTCATCCACTGATTGTTGTTTCCATTTTTTTTTGCTATTGAAAATAAAGCTGCAGTGAATGCTGTTGTTGTTCTTAGGTGCCGTGGAGCCAGTTCCAACTCATAGCAACCCTATGCCATCCTCACAATTGTTGTTATACTTGTTATGCTTGAGCCTACTGTTGCAGCCACTGTGTCAATCCATCTTGTTGAGAGTCTTCCTCTTTTTCGCTGACCCTCTACTTTACCAAGCATGATGTCCTTCTCCAAGGACTGGTCCTTCCTGATAACATGTCCAAAGTACGTGAGCCAGAGTCTCACCATCCTTGCTTCTAAGGAGCATTCTGGCTATACTTCTTCCAAGACAGATTTGTTCACTCTTCTGGTAGTCCATGGTATATTCAACATTCTTCGCCAACACCATATTTCTAAGACATCAATTCTTCTTCACTCTTCCTTATTCACTGTCCAGTTTTTGCATGCATACAAGGCAACTGAAAATACTATGGCTTGGGTCAGGCGTTCCTTAGTCCCCAAAGAGACATCTTTGCTTTTTAAAACTTTAAAGAGGTCTTTTGCAGCAGAATGGCCCAATACGTCATTTGATTTCTTGACTGCTACTTGCATAGGCACTGACTGTGGATCCAAGTAAAATGAAATCCTTGACAACTTCAGTCTTTTTTCTGTTAATCATGATGCTGCTTATTGGTCCACTTGTGAGAATTTTTGTTTTCTTTATGTTGAGGTGCAATCCATACTGAAGGCTGTAGTCTTTGATCTTTATCAGTAAGTGCTTCAAGTTCTCCTCACTTTCAGCAAGCAAGGTTATATCATCTGCATATCGCAAGTTGTTAATAAGTCTTCCTCCAATCCTGATGCCACACTCTTCATACAGCATTCTTCTTCAAATACTGGTGCATAGCTTCCAGCATCACAGCAACACGCAAGCCACTGCAGTACGGCAAAATGACAAATGCATGGGGCAGTGAACTTATGAGTGCACATATCTGTTCATGTCACTATTTTTAGGTCTCTAGGGCATATCCCTAGGAGTAGCATTACTGGATCATAGGGTAGTTCTGTTTCTAGTTTTTTTGAGGAAGTGCCATATTGTTTTTCACAGTGGTTGTACCATTTTACATTCCAACCAGCAATGGATGTGGCAGTCTGCTCCATAAAGATTTACAGCCTTGGAAACCCTATGGAGCAGTTCTACTCTGTCTTAGTTGCTGGGGGATGAATGGGAGCTACTGCTCACTTCGTTACGTTGCCCCACCCCAGGCAGTGTTTCATTCTGTTGTACTTAGGGTCTCCTATGAGTCAGAAATGACTCCACGGCACCTAACAACATCATCTATAATGTTTATCTTCTGTAGATTCTCTTTCAAAATAATTTCCTGGAGGACAGAAATAATATATGTTATTACGTCTAGAAAACTTTTTTACTAAGCAAAGTTAAATAATAAGGATAAAAACTATATAAGGATAGGTAATAATAAGAAAAGAAAGCTCAGTATTTGCCTATCAATTTCTCTTAGATAATATTTTAAATTCCAGCTCAGATGTGATTTCATTTAATTGAAAAAATATTTACTGAGCAAACATCTATGGGTAAGATCAGATCACAAAAGAACAGTAATACACTGGGCGTCTCTGTCTGAACTACAATAATGGAGCGTTTCTGTGGGTGCCCAGGGTCCTGTGCATCAGAGGCAGCGCTTCCAGCAACATACCGAGTTCAGTGCTACACTCTAATGCCAAGCCCCCATGGTCCTGGCTGCCCTACCAGGTGGTGGTCAGCTGATTGACAATGACCTTTGTCTCAAAGGGACTTTGTCTCAAAGGCAGCCTATTAAACCAGTTACTGTTCAGTCAATTCCCACCCAGGCGATCCCATGTGTGTCAGAGTAGAAGTGCACTCCATAGAGTTTTCAATGGCTGACTTTTCAGTAGACCACCAAGTCTTTCTTCCAAGGTGCCTCTGGGTGGACTTGAACATCCAAGCCAAGCGCATTAACTGTTTGTACCACCCAGGGACTCCTACGCAGCCCATATTTTTGTTGAGGACACTGATGAAAGAACTTTTAAAATATTGGTAGAAAATGCTAAATAATACTTGCGAAAGGGAAGGGGAATCAAAATGACAAGTTAACAATACTCACTGGAGAAGATCTCAGGCCTCTCCAGAGAGGGTCTCACCTCCAAACAGGAAGAGTTGCCTCAAACACGGACAACTCAATGTTGGGAGGGGGAGCTCATACTATGAGCAACAGAATCATGGCACTGACAGGCTAGAACACTTGGCCTGGAGTAATGAATAGAATATACTAGAGATAAATGTAAAGTGCTATACTTTGGTTCAAATGGTCAACTACTGGGATACTAGATGGAGGAGACCTGGCTGCCAAAAAAACCCAATGCAATTCTGGACTCACTGAAGCCCAGTGTCCAGGACAAGGGCTATTGTGGCTGACCCTAAGCTAACAGGACTGTAATATTTTTTCAGGGGAAAAAATTAATGGCAAATCAGTATATGGAAGAAAGCCAAAGAGGATCTGAGGAGAAAGCCTTTTTGATTGCTCCCTTATTAGAAGAACAGACAATTATGATGGCCACATTTTAGACAGGCTACAGTGAACTTATGGGACTAAAATGAGCTAAGGGATAGAAGAGACAAGACTAAAAGTAACAATTCAAAGAACGGGAATGATGTACTTTGGAGGAAAAATGGCTAAGCTATGCTTCAGCTTTCACTCTGTTCAAATATACTAACTGCTATTAGGAGGGGATCAATTACCAGTGGTTTTCTTTGCCTAGAAAATGGAACTGGAAGAAACAGACCATAGCTTACAGCGGGGAGCAGGTTCACATCACATAATCAAACAGTACAATATTTGCCAACCTCCTAAGACATGAAACGAGGCTACAATTTATTGGGGTAGATGGTGGGGGTGGGGGAGCAGGAGGTCAGTCCTGCAGATCTCTAAAATCATCATGAACCACCCAATGGCGAGAGTAACTTCTCTGGGAAACAGTTCTTTAATGGTTCCTTCTAGTCATATTAGTCTATTATTAGAATTGAAACATTACCAGTGGGATGGATCGCTTCTATATGGCTTTTCTTGCCATGGTCTTATAACTCCCATCAAACGACTAGGTGGGATTATACAGATAAGGTGCTTGTGGCCTGCCAAGGGTATTGGATAGCTTGCTAATAATGTAAATAAGGTGTACGGTACCCTTATGGGGGTGGGACTGTATAAATAAGGTATATGAAACTTCAGTGAGGGGATTGGTCAGTTTTGCCACACAGCTAGGCTTAAAATGAGCCATCCCAGAGGCGGAAGGGGGGACCTCACTACTACCAAGAAAGAAGAGCTTGGAGTGGAGCATGTCCTTGGGACCCAGGATCCCTGCACTGAGAACCTCCTAGACCCAAGAGACAGAGAGAGAGAGCTGTAACCCCAAAGACGGTGAGAAACAGCAGCAGCAGAGGCAACAGAACCAGGAGACCAGCAGGAGACAGCACAGTAGCTTTCTTAGCCCATGGAGCAAGAAAGCTGAGTGTCTTCAGGCAGGAGGCTTGCTGGCAGAGTGGAGTGCCTCTGAGCACTTGGAAGAGCTAGGCACACCAACCCACAGAATGAGAGCTGAATGCCTTCCAGCAGGAGGCTTGCTGATGGAGTGGGGTGCCTCTGGGCACTTACCGGTAGAGCTGAAGAACTTTTTAACACTTGCCCGAGCAGGGCTGAAGTGGGGCTGAGGGGTGAAGGGGCTAAGGGGCTGAGGGGCCAAGGGGCCAAGGGCCAGAGAGAGGCTTGCCTGCGGGCACAGCTGAGAAAAGGCTGTCCTGACGGAAGAACTGTATCCTAAGTGTCCTGATCCTAAATTGTAACCTGTTACTTCCCTAATAAACCCCATAACTGCGAGTATGGTCTGTGAGTTCTGTGTGGCCATTGCAACAAACTACTGAACGCAGCAGAGGAGTAGAGAATGCCGTGGGAGGGACAGCTGGTGTCAGAATTGGTAAAAAGGTTAGACAAAGGAGGTATGTCTGATCTCCACCTCATAGGAATCAGCTTTGAGCTGAGGCTGATGGTAATTCTCTCTCCCCCTCATGAAATTAGAGGTCAGAAGCCCCCACCACGTCACCAGTTTTACAACTAGCCTCCAGACTTGTAATTGTCATCCTTCTAAAACAAGCAATACAAACTGTAGAAGGGCTGAATATTTGAAAAGTATTTCCAGAAAGTTAAAACGTTTTGATTAAAGCTTTGTAGCTCCTCAATTCATTTCTGAAAGGTGGCATGTTATAAATTAAAAGTAATTACTTAATTTCTCTCCTATCCCTTCACATCAGATTTCTTTGGGGTTTGGGTCACTTTTAAGATTTCTCCTTTAACAAATGACTTCACAAAATATCATGTTACCTATAAACTCCAGAAGAATGAAACCTCGCAGCATTTGCAAAGAATCCCGAGACAATGCACCTCAGAACCGGATCCGGATCACCTACACAAGTAACAGAGAGGTGGATGAGACCCTTGCCTGCCAGGTGCTCTGTGTGCTCAGGGCTGCACTGCAATGCGCCATTACACACTGCTTCACAACCTCTCCCAACTGTCTCCTGAACCGACCCCAGCCCTATGCTTCCCGATGCCAGGTACCTGCTCTGGCCCCATGTCAGGAGGTCAAAGGCTGCTTTGTGAGAAACAACGCCAAACTGTTCCTTTAGCATGGGACCCTCTAAGCCCACCCCTAGCCCACAGATGACTGGACCAAAGCTGGGCACCAGAACCTAACAGAGCTACTCAACAGACTGGCCAGTGACCTCAACTACTTTTTCAGAGAGTATCTTGTGGGAATGATGTCCTTTCCATAAGACATAAACTGGGACACTATGCAACATTATTTCTATGATTATAAGGTGCATTGTGTAATTCTTCAAAATTTCCAAATATTCTATTTTAATTGGTGTCTCCTGCTACAGTAAATGTCTTCCATGAATTTAGATGACGTCCATAGTATACATTCCAAATTATTGTGCAAAAGGATGTCATTTTTATTGCTTATGACATACCATATTTCATCAAATCTAAGACTCACTCTTTTTTTACACTTTAACTCACTGAAGTAGGAATAACATTTTACAATTATAACTGGCACCATTTTTTCTTTCTTGTTGCTGTTGTTGGGTGCCGAGTCAATTCCAACTCATAGCGACCTCATGTGACAGAGTAGAACTGTCCCATAGGACTTCCTAGGCTGTAACCTTTATAGGAGCAGACTGTCAGGTCGTTTCTCCTGAAGAGTCGACGGTGGGTTCAAACCTCCAGCCTTTGGTTAGCAGTCAAGCACTTAACCACTGTACTACCACTAGGGCTCCTTTTTTCTTAGTGGTATATAAAATGATGTGTCTTTTATAATGACATATTAGATCCAATGAAATATAGTATATCGGCAAATAAGCTCCCAAAAGGTGGTACAATTTACAAATCCACCAAAAACGTATAAGATTGCCAGTTTCACCGCACTCTTACTGGCAATGTTTTGGCAAAGCAGGTACTTTCTTTCACTTTACATTTATTTCATTACTACCTGTAGTTCTTGTGTGAATTTTCTGTTCTAGTCCTTTGCCCACTTATCAGCTTGGAAACTAGTGCTTTTTTCTAAACAGTTTAAAGAATTCATTCTATAATGAAGTTTTAAATCTCTTCTCTCGTCTGCTGAAAATATTTTTCACTATTTGCTATCTTTTTTTTAACGTCTAGAAGTTTTAAATTTATATGGAATGTATTTAATCTCCAAGATTTTCTCTATTGTTCCCAAGCACAGACTGGTAATTCTCAAATCTACATTTTTAACCACGATTTCTAATCCAAGGTTTAGTTCCTTCTCTCCAACTGTCCATAAGAAAGCTCCACGTAGAACATGCACTTTTAACAGGGGCAATATTGCTTCCAAAGGGATGAAAATTGGTTCCTGGGGGGTGGGGGGAGTGTCTTAGACATTACAATCACTTGTGGCCCTCCAAAACTCAACCCTATCCAAAAAAGTCTTATTCCTTAGTATTTAATTTCTCTTGTTAACCAAAAAAAACAAACCCCGAGTCAATTCCAACTCATAGTGACTCTACAGGGCAGAGTAGAAGTGCTCCACAGAGTTTCCAAGGAGTGCCTGGTGGATTCGAACTGCCGACCTGGTTAGCAGCTGCAGCACTTAACCACTACACCACCAGGGTTTCCTTTCTCTTGTTAGAGGGAATTTAAATTTAATGTAATTTTTCTCCTGGTTGGGGGAAGAGGGGCAGATAATGAAAAACAGGTTGAAAAACATATGACTGTCACCTGTTAGGTGACAGGAGCTCAAATGGCTTCTCCCCTCATAAGCTTCCTGTTTCCATCAATGACACCAACATTACCCAATCACCCAGATTTGAAAACTTGAGATTATTTCCAACTTTTCCCTCCTATAAGCTCATCCACTCATCGAATATTCTCTGAGCATTCGACATACTCTTCACTCCCAGCATTTGTCTTCAAAGTCCCCCTGCCTAGCAGGCCCTCTGCCACTGTTTCCTAATTCAACCAGTCCCCCAAGGCTCCACTTGGCTTCTACCTCCCCCTTGAGGCCTGCTGTGAGACCCCCACACCAGCCCCCTCTGGATTCCTTCTTCCCTGCACTCCTACTATATTTGCCATTGGTGTCTTCACAATGACTGAAACAGCTAAGAGAACTGACCATCTTGTATTGTAGTTTGTCTGTTGGTGTGAATCTCTCCCTTCACTGCCCTGTGAGTAAGAACTACGTCTTCGTTATTTTTGTAACCACTTGCTCTTAACATAAATGCAAAATAAGGCTCTGGAATAAAACTGCCTGGGTTCAAATTCTGACTCCACCATGCACTCACTGTGTGACCTTCAGCAAGTTGCTTTTTTGCCTCTTAGCCTCATCTTCCTCATCTATAAAACGAGGACAACAACAGCACACGTTTCACAGGGTCGTTGTGAGCATTAAGTGAAACACTATATGAAAGCCCTCAGAACAGTGCCTGGCCTATAAAAAGCACTTGAAGAAATGTTACCAAATACTAGTGATACTCGAGTGCAGCAGAGTACCTGGCACATAGTAGGCATGCAAAAGACAGCTGCTGAATGAATGAGCAGATGTGTTACTTCCTCAAAAGCATGGACTTCTGAGCCACACAGAGCTCTGGCTCTGCTGATTACCAGCTGTGTGGCCCGGTACTAGTATAGTCTCCCTAGGACTTTATGACTCGCCTTGTAAAATAAGGATAGTTTCACCTGCATCTCACAGAGTGGGAAATGAAGCAAGCGTGTACTTGTAGAATCCTGCCACAGTGTAACCTAGCGTGTCCTCAATTAACGGTAGTCACGTTACTTCTAGCGGTACAAGACTAGGTCTTACACAGCACTTCTCTGTCTTACCCTCAGTGACTGCCCAGCCTAAACACACACCACTTGCTTTAATAATACTAGCATTTTAAAATAAAATATAATTTATACATAAGAGCTGTAAGTATCATGCACTTAAAAGTACTTTTCTTACAAAGCTTACGTAGGAAAATTAATTATATACTGTGTAATGAAGTGAATATTAGGATTCTTTAAGTGTTATCAGTGGCTGTCAAATATTTTTAGTAAGAGTAGCCCTCAGAAATGAAAATGGGCCTTCTTGGAAAAAATACGCTTTGATATGTTAGTACTCACTTTACACCAGCTTTCCATCAACACAAGCAATTCAAAAAGTGAAACCAAGGTTAGGTGCACAGCACGCGGCACGGCCCACATCATCCCGGCAGGACTGTAAGAAGGCAACTAACCAGGGCAAGGAAAGGGAAGTTACTGGTTATGGCAGTTTATTCTTACCTTCACTAGATTTCTTGGGCACTTGGAACTTGACAAGAAGCTTTTTCAATTGTTCTCGCACCGTTGCAGCTCTGACAAGGCCCTTGTAATTCAGGAAATGTTCCTGACACCACTGCGAGTTCTTATTGTGCTACAGAGCAACCCAAACAGGAGAATTAGAAAGACACAGAAATGTTCTCGACTAAGGCCACAGTGTGAGGGTAACCGTGGCCTCTTCTCCCATTTACTGGTTCAACAGGACAAGATCTTCAGATCATAACGGCCCCTTTTACCCTCTCTCTCAACACAGATGCTGACAACCCTCTGACTGGCTGTGCACCCCACCCTCTACACAAAAGGGTAAATGTGAACTTAATGATGAGCAGAGTTGCATTCCTATCTTAACTATGTACATGAGAGAACTATTAAAAGGAACCACTAACTTCCCTGTGGTTCTTTGTAAATCAACTTTTCTTCCTTGGCGGGCTTGAGTTTATCACTTTTTTAGATTATAGACTTGCAATATGCCACTTGCCAATTTAGAAATAATTTGTATATTACTATTATTTAGCTCTGAAGTATGATTTTGCATCAACAGTGCTTAATTGTTTTCTGCATTCTTAAGTATGACTGTCATGTCTTGGATTAAATTGTTGCTGTGGGAATGTGCCTCTGAAATTATGCTGTAAGCTAAGGGAGAAAGTGTTTTAAATAAGAAAATGTAGTTCAGAGACAATTTTCCAAGAAGGCAACTACAGAGTAAGGCAATGGAGACCTGACCCACATTACACTGTTAGAGGAAGCTTCCGACTATGGATGGTACACTGTACTCATACAAACAAATTTTAACTGATTTAACCCATAAATCTCAAGAGAGATAAGTGATTTTTCTGAAACTGTTCTTTATAAAACAATCTTCCGCAAATGCCTGATAAATAGAAAAATTTCGTATTTCTCCTCTCCTAAACAAGTATTTAAGAAATGAGCATAAGATAATGAAAACCTGAATACTGAATTTTTCCCTCATACATTTCCTTTATATCAGAAGTTTTTTCCTTCATTTTCAACAGCCTTATTATTAGATCCCTTTCTAGCAATTTTTAGTGAGACTTTTAAGCTGTATTATTTGTCCTTAGTTTTCTAGAATACTAAGAACAATAAAAATTAACACTACCTATGGTTAAACACGGGTAGGGATTGTGAATATACACGGATCTTCGCCTAAATGTCTTCTCATGGGCTGTCAGGTAGTTGGTAGGAGTGGTCGCTATGTGAAGTCTCAAACTCACCACAGACAGCACTGAAGATTCAACCCAAGACTACAAGTTACTTTCAGCGCTATTTACTTGACAGAACCTCCCATTCAAATCCTGCCTTCGATCCAACAACACTGGATGGATGTGGGACAGCGAGCGAGAGTGTACTGTTGAGTGCTAAGCAGTTAGCTGCTGTTAGTACAACACATCGCCAGGCCCTGATGAAAAGCAGTAAGTGATTCGTACGTTCTTCCGGGCAGGAGGCCCAACACACGGACTAGAGTAGAAGTACTGGCAATATCTAATGGGAAAATAAAAGGGTCTTTTGGCCATTCCTTTATGAACCGAACTTCTAGGATCCCAAGTCCCCTCAAGTGGGTGGGTGCGTGGAGGGGGCCTTGGAGCTGTAGCTGTGCTTACTTTGATGAATGCTTCATACACGTTGAGCATAGTGAGATGATCACCCTCCTCCACAGCAAATCTTCGGTGCACTCGAATCTGTAAAGAATAAAGTAATGTTTAGAAGTTGACTCCTGTGGGGCGCCTTGTACCAGGAGGTAGCATTGCACGATAAACAGCCATGGGTTATGGAGTCACAAAGAACTGGTTCGCATCGTTCTAGCTCTGCCACTTCCGAAAGATCTCAGACTGGGTACTTAACCTTTCTTGACCTCAGTTTTCCTATCTATAAAATTGGTAAATTACCCTTTCCTATCAAGAATGCTGTGAGATTAAGATAATTTATTATAAGTACCTGGCACAGGTATCAGATAAACGCCAGTGTTCTTGTCTCTCCCCAGCTCTGTCCAGTTGATATCATCTTTCAGAAGAACTCCGCCTAGCCCCCAACAGAATGTACACCCCAGGAGGTCCAGGGGCTGACTACCTGGCACATGGTAGACACCCAATATTCCTAGGCTGCCACTGGCTAACAATCTTTCAGACTCCCTTTCTTAATTTTCCTTTCTGTAAGATCCTGGGCAATGCCATCTGCTCCCATGGGTTCAAGGAGCAGCATATACAATATATATGCAAGTATACAAATATACTTATTAACTTCAGAATTTTCTACTTGTACCAAATACCACAGACTCAATCAGCCCTCCTTCCTCCCTTCCTTCATTCATTAACAGATATTTACTGAGCACCTACTATAGACCAGGTACTGTTCTAAGCATCTGGGATATACCAGTGAGCAAAACAGTGGTGGGAGACAGACAACAAACAAATACATAAGCAAAGTATATAGCATATTAAGTGGTATGATGTGCTAAGAGGAGAAAAATAAAGCAGGGAGTAGGGATACAAGGAGGAAGAGAAAGTTACAGCTTTAGACAAGAGTGGCCAGAACTTCAGTTTTCTCATCTTTCAAATGAGTTTGCCTGCCCTCAGGTAGGAGTCTTAAAAAGGTTAAAAAAAAAAGAACCCAGAGAAGATGGACCTAGCCACATGGGCATGGAGGCAGGAAAACTCTGAAATCCACAGTCATACAACTGTCAGGGAAGATGATGATTCATAAGAAAGCTTCTCTCCTCCTCACTACACATCCCATTCAGCCCCTCCGCGGGCAAGGCTGCCACTTCTCAGACCTTAAACTCATCGTTGACCTATCTCTATTAGTACACCTCACCTCTGGGGTACTCTTTAGTCATAACTTTTTCTTCACAGTATTTCCAGCGTTCACCCTTTGCTGTCGTCATTGAAGCCTAGGTTTTGTCACCTCCTTGGCTCAGAATGACCCACCTCCAACCCCCCGCCATGACGTAGTACAGCATCCAGAATCGGCCTGCTGTGCCCACGTAGAGCCTACTCCTTGCGTCACTAATGAGCCTACCAAGGTTTCTACCAGAGTACTCTGAAAGAAGGAAGACTGAAGAAGGATTGATGCCTTTCAATTATGGTGGGCAAGAATATTGAATATACCATGGACTGCCAGAAGAACAAACAAATCTGTCTCAGAAGAAGTACAGCCAGAATGCTCCTTAGAAGGGAGGACAACAAGACTTCGTCTTATGTGCTTTGGACATGTTATCAGGTGGGACCAGTCCCTGGAGAAGGACATCATGCTTGGTAAAGTAGAGGGTCACTGAAAAAGAGGAAGACCCTCAACGAAATGGACTGACACAGTGGCTGCAACAATGGGCTCAAACATAACAATGATTGTGAGAATGGTGTAAGACTGAGCAACGTTTTGTTCTGTTGTACACAGGGTTGCTATGAGTCAGAACTGACTCCACAGCACTAAACAACAACTCTGAATGACAATTTCCCTCATGGGAAACTGGAAGTCAGTAATGCAATGGTTAAGATTTGGGGCTTTGGGCTGTGAAAGCCAACTCTACCACTTCTGGCTGTGCAACCATGAGTCAGTTACTTAACCTTTCTGTGCCTCCATCTCCAAAAGTTATCCTAACAGTATCTACCTCCCAGGACTACAGTAAAGATAAAATGAAAGGATGCACACAAAACGCTTGGCACAATGTCAGGTACACAGTTGTTGTTAGTTGCTGTCGACTCAATTCCAACTCATGGCGACCCCAAGAGTGCAGAGTAGAACTGTGCTCCACAGGGTTTTCAAGGCTGTGACCTTTAGGAAGCAAATCACTAGGGCTGTCTTTTGAGGAACCTCTGGATGGGTTTGAACTGCCAACCTTTTGGCTAGTAGTCAAGTGCTTAACCATTTGTGCCACCCAGGGACTCCTAGGTACACAGTAACACTCACAATGGGAGCTGATATCATTTGTGCAGCTCCTAGGGACAGTTTTAATGGAAATCCCACAGTGAAAGAGACTGTACAGATAGCTTAGGGAAAAGGTGGGACTTACTGCCTGGGACTTCTGGTTTGGGGGGATCACAAAGATATTCTGGATCTGCATCATGGCCGCAATGCTTAGGATTTCCTGAGAACAGCCAAAATTTCCTATAAAACAAAAGGCATATTTGACTTCAAACATTCAATGTGTCAATGAGGAGTGAAAGACATTTCCCAATTTTTTCCTTGCATTGTACTTTAAACTAAGAGTATATACTTCCATATAGTTTTTTTTTTCTTTTAAGTTTATAATATATAAACACTCCACCCTGCCAAATAGACCACCCGATCTGTGGGCCACATGAGTGGAAGCCTTGAAGGATTCTGAAGAGCTGCTACTCCACTGTGGAGCTATAACACTGAGGGACTCTAGCTATAAGCCAAGGTAACATCTAGACTGGACCCAGCTCCACACCCGCTCCCTACTCTCTTATGTGGGATTTAGGATGCTGGCAGTAAGGGAAACGGGGCAGGGAACATGTGGGCTGTGTCCCTTCTGCTGCTTCTCTGCTCCCACGTCCTTCTATCAGTGACCTCCCTCTCAACAGGGCTCATCTCGCCTGGAAGCCCTGTGAAGCAAACACAACTATACCAGGGAAGCACTCCGTGGGCTGCTGGCTGCCAGCAGCACCAGGGAACAGAGTCTGCAGCAATCAACAGCAGACATCCAGAGCAAATCACACTACCCAACCTGCTTCCCCACACCATCCTGCCTCAGAAATGACATACTCCTCCAGCACCACAGTTAGATTCCAGTTTCTCAATGTAAGGCTAAGGGTATCTGGTTGTCCCAAAGCACAGTTACAGCTAACTTTCACTGTGCTTAGTCTGAAATATATCTTTCATAGATTGCCAGTTGATGTAAAAGTTAGGCAGAAGAAAAAATTAGTATTAGCTTTCCCAGGAGGGTTTAAAAAAAAAACAGACTACACTCTCCAGATAATTATGACTTCTAAACATAAGAAGATCTCCAGGTTATATGTGTATCTCTTAACTCAAATCCTCACAAAAATCTGAAGGTGTCAGAGGCGGGCCCATAGGAAACAAACAAAATGTGTTTGCTGAATTAATGACTGACGCTGAATCACAAGCCAGCCACACTCCCCAAATCTGACAGCTTCACATGACAGCTCCTTCACTACTATTGTGCCCACTTCCCCAGGGTGCACAGAATTCAGAGAAAGTCCTCTGACAATCAAAATAAAACCAATCAGAGCTGTCAGTCTCCACCCACCTGATTCAAGCAGCATTTTTGCAAACATGGGATTCAAAGGAAACTCCGCTATCCTCATGCCAAGCGGTTCAGTTAGCCGACAGTCTTTGTCCAGACCTGTCGGAAGAACAAAACTAAGAATCAGAGGCGTGTGCCATTGTAGCGGAAGAAGATGTACAGTTGCTGAGAGAACAAAGGACGATGTATGCTAAAAACGGTATCCAAAAGATGATTCATGCGCTCCCAAGCTCAATTTGACACCAAGGTACTGTTAAATTACAAGAAGGATCTGCCTGAGCTCCTGAATACATAATTTTAAAAAAACTGATACTTCCAGTGACTTCTATTCAAGGACATTAACTAGAAGGAAATGGCCTTGCAGCCTCCTCTTGCTCCCACTCTCCCCTCAGCCACAGCTGCCTCACCTGTGTCCCACTACTCCACAGAGAATGCCCTTTTCCCACAGGCCCAGCAACTAGACGGTGTCAGATACAACAGTCTCCATGCAGCATCTGACTCTGCTGACCAAGGCCTCTCCCCCAGCCTCCCTGCCCCCTACTCCCTCGCTTTTCCACCACCTCTTGCTACTCCCTCTCAGTCCCCTAGATCTCCTTCCACATCCAGTCCCTTCCACGCCGCAGACACCCAAGGATGGTATCCTCTGCTCTCTGTTCTCACGCTACATGAACAATCACAAGTTTGGCAACTCTGAAACTAAACGCTAGCCCAGATCACTGTTCGGTGCCAACACCAGGCCTGTTTATCCAACTGCCTCCTGGGTAGTTTACTGAACTGGGCAGACTCCTTCAAATTTCAAATGTAAGTATTTCTAACTCCCCACCTTCCCTCTTTACCACTTGCCAATGTCCAGGTATTAGATTCCCAAGATTCCCAGGATGCCGTCTTTTGTTTTAGTGATTAAAACAAATGTTGCAGAGCTCAAGATAAGACAGACAAGGTCATTTCTCTTTTGTCTCCACAGAGCCAACTCTTTAAAGGTGGTAATTCAGCTTCAGACTAGATTAAGTTGGGCTTTTCCCAACTTTATCCGAGTGGAGAAATAGAAAATATTTTAAATTTTGATCCACTGGATGAGAAGAAAATCAGTTGAAATGAAAAACTCCTATGCAGCCAGTGTTCTCTCATCCTGGTTACAGATGGTCCCAGGAAACTCTGCTCTCAAGTTCCTATCACGCGCTTGAGAACAGAGGCCAGAAGTCCATTCCGATATACACCCACTCTGGATCGACCTTGTACAGATCCCGCTAAAGGCAAATCACTGAAGACCTTTCAAATCTGTAACTGGATATTCCTTCACAGAGAAACAGCACAAATATAATTGAGTTTTCAGTAGTATTTATAATTAGTCTGTGTGGTATTTTTAAAATAACAGGCTCCAGGGTGGAGTTTTGGGTCCAGGTATGAAATGAGGCAGCCAGAAAATTTCCTCCCTCCTCTGAACCAGGTGTTTATGGCACAACTTGATTCGCTGAAAGTAACTTTCCTGACCCCAGGGCCCTCACTCCCACGTGGAGCAACAGCAAGGAACCGGAATGGAAATTGGGAGACACAAGCCTGATCCAGGGCCACTAATGGCTGCCTGGGTGATCTCGGGCAACTCTCTTAGGTTATTTGGACTTCATGTTCCTCATTCTTAGGAAAAAAGGGTAGGAATGAGTGACCTCTAAGACTCCCTGCTAGGATTCCTAAGTATGAAGGTAAGTTAAACAAGAAAAAAGAAATAAAATAAGCTGTCACATGGGAGATGATGGGAGTTGAGAGTTAACACTGCATATGACCCATCACAGAAATGTCAGACTTAACAGTCAGTGCTCATTCTTAGCTCAAAAGAAACCTTCATGTGATCTGTCATACATAATGATAAAAACTTAATAAGTAAAGCAAAACTGGATAAGAAAAAAACGTGGAAAAGTATACCATCCTCACAGATCCTTTTTAGACAGTAACACTGAAGAGTTTTACAGCCAAAAATACATACACAATTAAAGTGCTACTTGGTAAATGTTTTCATACTGAAAAGCAATTGAAATTATCTTTAGCACTCAGAATGAACCTCTGGAAATGAGTGGTTCTCCTATATTTCTGTGGTAATAAAAATGACCCTTGTGATAAAGCAGTACAGTGAAATGCTAATGGAAGAATCTAGGCAGTGGGCTTATATGTGATGACTATACAAATTACTTCAACTTTTCTTATGTTTGAAATTTTTCATAATAAAATGCCATGGAGAAAAAAAAAAAATGAGTCACGTAAGAGTCAAACCAGTATTCTGGACAACATAAAAACACTTAAATCAACATTCTTGTTCCTGTGATCCAACAGGTATTAACATTTTATTTAAACATTCAAAAAGGTTACTTCCTTCTACCAAGACTGACTTCAACAACTTCTAGTAATCAAAGTTCTGAAAGTTAGGAAAAGCATAAGGAGGTAACAAACCTATATTTTTTGTTTGTTTGTTTGTTTTAACTCCAAGAGGGTGGTAGATGATAAACATGCAAATAAAAAAATAAGGTTCCAGCAGTGCCCAGGGACCACTCCCGGCAGAGGTGCCGCAGGCAGGGGAAGGTGGCTGGGGTTTAGCTCCAATTCTGCAGGAGGACATCACAACAACTAACACCCTGGCTGGCTTGCACAGCCCTGAAGCCACCTGGAGTCAAAATGACCTATTTAATCTGGCCATTAAAGTAGAGAGTCAGTCCTTACCTATGTGAAAAATTCCTATATGAAAATCAAAATACCAGAAGATATGCATGGAATAAAATTTGGTTCCTTTGGTATTAAAGTAACATTAACAACATTCATGTATCTTTCCAGTGTACAGTGACTTTGCATGCATTATCTAATTCTTACACAATGAGAGTAGGTATTATTATTTCCATTTTACATAAAAGTGAGTCTGGACTTTAGATTCAGGTCTCCTAACTCCCAGCCCAGCTGCCAAATGAAAGAAGTCCCCAGATAAAGTATTATTGAAAATCAAGACCCCAGGCCTGAGAGTCCAAGAACTGGGTTCATCCACCGGGTCCTGGATGTACAACTGGCAGACTATTAGATTAATGTGTGTGTGTGTGTGTGTGTGTGACCTCAATTTCCTCATCATAAAAATGAAGAAACTGACACAAATTCTCTGCAGTGAAACTGAACATTTCTAGTTTGAACAAAGAACAATGTAAGGTTCTGGGAAAATCTGAAAAGATAAACCATGGCCAGAAAAATTTCAGTACTGTTCTGCTTGTGGAAATAAATTTAGTTGTCTCTAGACCCTTAGTTGACCTTGAGGCTCTCATGAATTTAATTTAGAAACCATACTGGTATAATGAAATAACGCATAAGAACACAGCAAACATTTTAAAGGAAAACGATCATTTTTATTAGGCATCAAAAGTACCACTGAACAACACAGTTGACAAGACAAGTCAGTGGGGAAAGAACAGTCTTCTCAATAAATGGTGCTGGATCAAATGGATATCTACATGCAAAATAATGAAGATGGAACCTTACCTCACACCATACAAAAACATTAACCCAAAATGGATCATAGATCTAAATGGAAGAGCTTTAAGTGTTAAACTCTTTGAAAAAAAAACCTAAGAATAAATCTTCATGACCTTGTGTTAATGATTTCTTACATACAACACCAAAAGCACAAGTGACAAAAGAAAAAAGTGATAAATCAGACTACATAAAAACTTAAAATTTTTGTGCTGCAAATGATACCATCAAGAAAATGAAAAGCTTTGAATTGGTGTATGTTTTGCTGTATACATTCTCAACAGCAACAATAAAATTTTAAAAAATAGTTATTCCCATTAAACTTCTTCAACTAAAAAAAAACAGAAGTGAAAAGCTAACCAACAGAATGAAAATATTTGCAAATCACATATCTGATAAGAAATTTGTACCCAAAATACATAAAGAATTCCTATAACTCAATAATAAAAAGAAAAATAACCAAAGTAAAAATGGGCAAAGGATTCGAATAGGTATTTCTCCAAAGATAAACAAATGGCCAATAGCATATGAAAAGTTGCTCAACATCATTAGTCATTAGAGAAATGCAAACCAAAACCACAATGAGATACCACTTCACACCCATTAGGATGGCTATTATCAAAAACAAGTATAACAAGTGCTGGCAAGGATGTGGAGAAACTGGAACCCTTATACACTGCTGGTGGGAATGTCCACCAAAAACCTGTACACAAATACTCATAGCAGCATTATTCATAACAGCCAAAGAGTAGAACCAATCCATATGTCCATCAGCTTTCAAACAGATGAAAAAAATGGCATATATCTGTACACTGGAACATCATTTGGCAATAAAAAGGAATGCCATGGTACCACATGGATGAACTTTGAAAACATCACGCAAACTGAAAAAAGCCCGTCACAAAAGACCATATATTGTATGATTCCATTTATATGATATGTCCAAATTGGACAAACATATAGAGACAGAGAGTAGATTAGCGGGTGCCTGGGGCTGGGAAAAGGGGAACAAAGAGAATAGGGGGTGACTGCTAACGGGTACGGGGTTTCTTTTTTGGGTGATGAAAATATTCCAGAGTTAGATTGTGGTGACGGTTACACAACTCTGTGGATATTCTCAAAACACTGCACACTTTGGAAGGGTGAATTTTATGGTATACGAATTAGATATAACTCAATAAAGCTATTTAAAAAAAAAAAAAAGAGTAACACTCAAATTTCAAAAGACAAAACCTCCACTAAAACTCAATACAAATCAGATATATATTCACTTGGGGTAACATTCACAGAAGAGACACGTACTTCCTGCAGGGTGAATTCAAAGTACGATTTTCTCTGTCTTAAGGTAAAGACAATATTTTCAAACCACAGCGAATAGAAGTTCTTCCATAACAAGATGTTTCCTTGTTCAAACACCACTGGCTGGTAATCTACCCAGTTCTCCATAGAGAACTCCAGGAATGAAATGAAGGGGCGTTAGGGAAACACGGAGCTGCAGATTTCAGGATAGGGAGGGGGGCAGGTAAAAGGTCTGAGAGGTAACATCTGAAATACTGAAAGTGAATCACTGATCTTCTGGATAACTCTTAAAGAGTGTGGCCCTGGTAACAGCTATTAATAGCTTTTGATGTACTGGCCAAACAACCAAACCAAACCCAAGGCCGTCGAGGCAACTCTAACTCATAGCGACCCTATAGGACAGAGTAGAACTGCCCCATACAGTTTCCAAGGCTGTAATCTTTATGGAAGCAGACTGCCACATCTTTCTCCCTCGGAACCCAGCTGGTGGCTTCAAACCACCAACCTTTCAGTTAGCAGCCAAGTACTTAACCACTGTGCCACCAGGGCTCCTTTGAGGTACTGGCATGCTTTATAAATTCACTGTCATAATAGGACTTCGTGTGATAGTAATCTAATTATGATCTCAACTTCTTTTGATAAATAGTGTCATTAAGAGGATTATATATATGAGAAAAACCTATCCTGTTCCTAAAGATACTAAGAGCCTTCAAGTAAATAGAAACTAACTAATATCACACAGGAGACTATATGATAAGAGAGAAACAGACTTACCTCCCAGAGCATAGAGTAACTCCAAAGCTTGAACCATTGACTGTGCTGGAGGAGGCTGTAAAAAATAATAATAATTCTCCTACGTTAATTTCTTTGGACAACCAACATAAAAACATGGTCATTTCTTGCTCAAGTCCACTCTTCCCTCCAACACACCCCATTTTTCCCAGCCTTCATGCTTCTGTTCATGTTGTCAGTACCCTTTGATGTGTCCTTCCCCTCCTTCTCAGTATTCTTAATACTACTTGGCTTTTAAGGCTCAGCTGGATTAAACACTTCCCCTTGAAGCCCTCTCCCACCCTCCCCTCTATCAGAAGTGATGGTCCTACCTCCTCATTTTCCCTAAACTCTCCTCCGACATTTCTAATTTTTACTTCATCTCCTCAACCGTCTCCTGCCCTGGGAGCCCCACGACACTGCAGTACCACAGATGACTGTGCTCTCCATCACCCAGAGCCCAGCTCCAGACCTTGCCCATGGTGGGTGCTCTACATATGTTCAATGTGATTTTCTGGAAATAACAAAAAATGCTAGACAATCTGAAGTTAAGCCAAACTGATAGTGTGACCTTCAGGCTGAGTCTCTTGATGCTTATCAGCTCCTTTCCTTTCACAAATCTTTACTGAACACCTGAAGTGCAGGCTCATTATTATTTTCTCTCTAAATGATTTGGTTTCCAGTAAGCCAGGCAATTAAATCACAGTACTTTTTCAAACTGCATAGCTTTTTTCTAAATGCATTCGCATAACAAATTTACTTTAAGCACTCCACTGTTTTAGCCCAATTTTACAGAGAAATAAGGGCAATAACAATAAGTTAGATGCATTTGAACAAGACCATACAGGCAGATGGTGGCAAAGCCAGAGACTGAACTCAGGTCTCCATCATTCTTCCACTATACCCCAGCCACTGATCACCAAGGAAAGCTGTACTTTCAAAAGTTGTACCGATTGTATTCACACGAGCACACACTTACGAGGGGAGGGACTACACCTATATGAGAGGAGGGACTACACCTAATTGATTCACTACAAAGAGCAAATCATTGTTGAATAAATCATGAAACTGCTTCAACAGTCTTTCCTCAGTGGCTATGACATCTTCCTTTATCAAGAGCATAATACACAACACCTAAACAGAGGAGCTTAACTCCTCTAGGAATCTTTTATATTGAGAATGTATGTGGTAACAGGAAATAGCAAAGCACTGAATTTGGTTTTAAATAATTACAGAACAAAACTACTAAGGTCATCTTTGACTCCTCTCAATCCCTGGCCCTATTTCTAGTCAATCACCACATCCTATGAATTCTGTTCCTCAAAGTTTTTATCAATAAAAAATAATTTTACCCAAAAAAAAAACACAAAAAAAATCACACACAGCATTTTCACTTAAACATACATTCACTAGTATTTCTCTATGACCTCATCTGATTCGGGATCATATGCAAATATGATTTTAAGATAACTGGAATTACTGTGTATGTATAATTTTAGTATGTTTGTCTCACTGTATGTTTTTCTGTTTTCACTGCTTCTTGTCCCCACAGAAACTTTACAGTGATCTCTTGGGTCACTGCATAATATTCCATCAAGGTCCTACTCCATAAAACAAGTAATTTTCTTATTACTGGGCAATTAAGTTGTCTTTAGTTCTTTGCTATTGTAAGTAACACTGCTAAATATACAAATACATGTACCCTATGATTTCAGAAGCCCTGGTAGCACAGTGGCTAAGAGCTCAGCTGCTAACCAAAAGGTCAGCAGTCCAAATCCACCAGCTGCTCCTTGGAAACCCTATGGGACAGTTCTACTCTTTCCTATAGGGTTGCTGTGAGTTGGAATCAACTTGATGGCAACGGGGTTCTATGATGTCAACTGTAAAAAACAATGTTAGGGGAAAATAACCATAAGAAAATATACGAAGGTCAATTTTATGTATTTTTTCAGTTTTCAATTGTCCAAAAGTCTTGTTAGGGTTTTCATTATTTATCATTTTTAATATAAAATGATGCTATAAACATCATCATATATGTACGCTTTTTTCTTCTTTTGAATTATTTTTTCAGGGGAAATTTCCACAAGAAAGAATACCAAGCATTTGTATGGCCCATTAAATACTGTCAGGAAGTCCTCCAGAAAGACAGAAGCAGAGTATAAAACCACCAGCAATACGTGGGGAATTTAGTTTCCCAAATTGTGTCAGCTTTAGAGTTTATCATTTTTCTTTATGTCTGATCATTTAATCAGTGTAAAGTAGCACTTTACAGCTATTTCAATTTGCACTGATCTCTCTCCCAATGAAGCTGACACATTGTAACGGTAGCTGACTACTTGCACTGCTTCCTTTTCTTTACTGGATATTTGATATATTTAAATGATGTTTGAAAACGCTCTATATTTTTTAAGACGTGAATCTGTCATTTTTTCCATTATATATTTTCCTTTAATCTTAGATGCGGGGCTTTCATAAGTTTTTAATTTGCATACACTGTCCATCTTTTCTTTATAATTTCTTGTACTACACACCAGCAGTCAAAGAGGACATTTTCTTCATACTTACCATAAACACATAATTTTTTTTTTTTCTCCTTTTCCTTTTCATTTCTTGGAATGTGGGGTGGTATTTTTACATTCTATTCTTTCATTCATCTTATTTATCCTGACATATGATAATAGGGACTTTATTATCCAAAATCCAAACTTATCACACCACATATCAATACAGTTGGGGTAGATAAAAGAGTTAAACTACGTCTTCAGATGATAAAAATTCAATAAGAAAATATAAGTGAATATTTATTAACTGACCTAGATATAGGGAAGGACTTCATACCACAAGAATGACAGAAGAAACTACTGAGGCAAAGATAGGAAGATTTTACTACGGAAATGTTTAGAATGTCTATACATTTAAAAAAAAGTAAAATGCAAATAACCAGATAAAATATTGCAAGAAATATTACAGATAAAAGTTAATGTCTTTAATATTTAAAGAACTCTGGAAAATCACTAACACCAATTCTAATAAATAAATGACTTGACAATTCAGAAGAAATACAATGATTTCTTGAGTCCTTAACATAAATTGTTTGAAACATAAATACATGTTTAAATCATAAATTACAGGTAATTCTCTTTCTCTCTTGCCAATCAAATTAGCAAACATGGCACAATGGCGGCACAATGAGTTGGGCGTTCATGCGCTGCTGGAGTCTATGTAGGTAAAGTAATCTGGCAATGTACAAAACAACTATGGCCCTTTGAGCCAGTAATTCCACTCCTAGAAGCCTGTCTTAGGAAATAACCAGAAACACAGACAGATACAGGATCTTTCCCACAGCTCTACCAAACCCCTCTTGACTCCCCCAAGTGTGATACACTTGCATCTAGGCCTACACGTATCCGCCATCATAGAACCCTCTACCCCTCCTGACCTGGTGAAATCCTACTTGGGTCTCAGGTTTTACTTTAGACATGACTAACTGAGCTGGGGGCCCTGCCTCTGTGCTCTCCCAGCACCCTGCAATCATCTCTCAGGGCAATGGGCACCCTGTACTGCAACTACCCATGTACTGGTCTCTACGCCCCAGCAGACAAGAACAGGAATTATGTCTGAACCAGAATTGCATCGGCCTTGCCTGGCTGTACTCCCCCATTCCCTGCACAAGGCCTGGCACAAAGAAGGCACACAACACATAAGTTGAATGAAAAAAAAAAAAGAAAAGAAAGGTGCCTCATTCTGTAAACAATGTCCTGGCATCCCCTGGGAACTCTCCAGCCCCCCTGCAGCCCCAGACAGAAGGCAGGACTTACCGACATGAAGTGGAACCTGAGGACATTGTCAATTCCCAGCGCCTTCAGCTGCAGGATGACAGGCGCCAAATTGCTGCGCTGCATCTCAGGAACGGTGGATTGAGGCAACTTATCAAAGGCTTCCTCTGAGGAAAGGAAATGAGAACTACTTGGGATCAAATGTCACAATCAAATGCAGTCATTAAGTCAAAGGGACAGTTCTCCTTCTCCAACTTGAACAACCAAAAAAAAAACAAACCAAACCCGTTGAGTCAATTCCAACTCATAGTGACCCTACAGGACAGAGTAGAACTGCCCCATAGGGTTTCCAAGGAGCACCTGGTGGATTCCAACTGCCCACCTTTCGGTTAGCGGCCAAACTCTTAACCACTTCGCCACCAGGGTTTCCACTTGAACAACAGGCTCTAGGATTCAGTCACAAAACATGACTATGATGTCATCATATAAAGTTGTTTATACATTGATGAAAGACTATTCCATTTAAAAAATGATTTAGATAAATATATTCGAACAATACACCTACATAAAAGTTTGTCCTTTCATGTTAGAATGCTTTTTGAAAGTGCTTTTAAGTTAATCAACAAAACATTAAATCAAAGCAACAAGTTATTGCATTTTACACAAATAACACGTTTGTATATATATATTTTTTTTTTTTGCCAACTGTACCCTCCCCCAACAAGGTATCTTCATAAGCACGCTATGCTAATTTTTTTATATGTTGCTGTACCCAGAATATAACAAATGACCAAATCTCATAAAGGGCAGAAATTGTCCACATCACTGAGCCCAGTACACAAGGCCACACCCAGAATCCAATGCTGCCCCAAACAGATTAACGAATGCTTACATGCCCCATCAGGAACAAAGGGTGACCTCAAACAGGAAAAGTGGCACAAGGCACAAAGATCCCAAGATGGGAGGGACAGGAAATAAGCTAGGGAGGGGAAGAGACTTTGGGGGGCCTTTTTATAAAAGCTAAATGAAAAGGGTGGGAAAATAAAGAGGGAGGGAGAGACTAAATCATTTCTGTATGCATTCAGAAAGCTTATACATTATATAGTCTGTTCTACCCACAAAATTCTTCCACATCAATATTTTAATTGATGCATGCACTCTTTAAACAACACATCAGAAGCCCAATTGCTATTTAGATCATAAAGCTTTAGTTAGCCAGAGAAAAAAAGAAAACCAAAACAAAGCAGAAGATATCATGAAGAAATAGCACTATCACTGAAAAACTTCAAAAAGGTTTTCACTGAGAAAACAGATAACCAATATTCTGTGCACCGATTGACATAAATTGCCAAATATATGGGTCTAACTGAAAGGTTCTGGAGGACAGAAAACAGCAGGAAGTTCCAAATAGGATGTTGTTGTTGTTGTTAGGTGCCGTCAAGTCAGTTCTGACTCATAGCAACCCTATGTACAACAGAACAAAACACTGCCTGATCCTGAGCCAACCTCACAATCATTTTTATGTTTGAGCCCATTGTTGCAGCCACTATGTCAATCCATCTCATTGACGGTCTTCTTCTTTTTCAATGACCCTCTACTTTACCAAGCATGATGTCCTTCTCCAGGGACTGGTCCCTCCTGATAACATGTCCAAAGTACGTGAGACGAAGTCTCACCATCCTCTAAGAATACTTCTAAGAAGCATTCTGGCTATACTTCAAGACAGATTTGTCTGAATTTCAAGGGCATTTTGCATACAGAGTTTTAGTAGGATAACCACGCTTTCCAAGCATGCTGCTGACCAAGGAAAAAGCAAAGTTATCAGATAAGAGTACAGCGCTGCTGAGAAGACGCTCCAAGGAAGTAGGGGCTTCCTAGGCATTCAGCGATACTCAAACTCCGCTGAGGGTTCGAGGGTAGGAGGCATTGAGCCAGGAGCCACAGGCCATGCCTTTGAGAAGCTTCAATTATATGAAGGGGCATAGGAGCAAGACCAGAAACAGGGTTCTCCAAGGATGAGCAGGCTAGGTCCCAATGAGGTCCTCCCAAAGAGAAATGGAAGCTCAGCAAAAGAAGAAACCACAGCTGTTGGAAGAAAGCATCTGAGGTAGCTTCATGAGGAAGTAGCCATTTGAAACAGGATTTGAAGGATAAGGAGGATCTGTTGGGCAAAGAGGAAAGAGCCAAAGCAACATTATCAAAGGTATGCATGGTGGATATGGAAAAGCAGAAGGGGTGTCCAAGAACAGAGCGGAGTCCAGATGGGCTGCAATGTACAGTAAATGCAGGCAGGTAGCGGCAAAAGATAAGCTGAGGGAAAGTCCTGGAAGTTTCCGGGAAATTGTGCAATGCCTGAACAGGAAGCAGCCAGCTCAGAGCTGCACTGTCCGAAGGTTCATCGAAGCAGACTGGCTGAAAAAGCCAAGTAGCTGGTGGCAAGCCCACCCTTTCACTGTCAGATGGCCCCTCCCCAACTCTATCTCCACTGAAATTGCTCCTGTTAAGGGAGCCACGCCCACTGCCATCGAACTGATTCCAACTCATAGCGACCCTATGGGACAAAGTAAAACTGCCTCATAGGGTTTCCAAGGCTGTAATTTTACGGAAGCAGACTGTCACATCTTTCTCCTGCAGAGTGGCTGGTGAGTTCAAACTTAACCACTGCGCCACCAGGGTGCCCTTAAGGGAGCCAATGACCTTTTAACCAAATCCACCTGCCTATCTTTAGTCTGCACTCTACTACTTGACTTCTTTGGAGCATGAGATGATGCTGGCCATCTCCTCTTTAAAAACATCTTAGGACTTTCTCCTCCCCTGCATTTCAGGATGCCTTTTAGTCCTGGTTCTCCTCTTTCCACTCCAATCATTCCTTCTTAGCATCTTCAATGGCTGCCCTTACCTCCCTGGCCTCAAGTTCTGCTTTTTTCTCACCTCCATGAATACACCGTACCTCCTTCATCCTTCCCAAGTATCTGTACATGCCATTCCTTCTGCCTGGGGTGCTAAAATCTAATCCTCACTGCAACTTCCTCAGCTGGATAACTACTGGGCCCCCCATAAGATCAGGCTCAAAGATCAACTCAGTCATGAACCCTCCCCAACTTCCCAGCAGGATAACACTCTCCCTGCTCTCTGCTTCCAAAGTTCACTCTTTATGGCAACCCTATCACACCACAGGTCTGCCTCCACCACCAGACTGTCAGCCATGTGGCAAGGAACCAGAACTTCCCTAGCTCTAGATCTCCCAGCCCCAGCTCCATGGCTATCAGACAGCAGGGGCTCCATAAACATTTGCAAAAAGAAAGGATTAAAGAAAAAGATATCAATGACTAAACAAGGAAAATAGTAACCAGAAAGGAAAGAAAGAGATGAATAACAAAAACAAAACCTCTAATCTGCTAAGTGATTGCAGGTGGGTATCAGACAGAGGGCAGAATTAAAAATGACCTGTGGAACAAAGGAAGAAAGAGAGATAGAAACAAGAGAAGGAAATGGAATGTGTGGCTAATTGCCCCCATGAACAACCCGCCTCCTTTGCCATGAGACCAGAAGAACCAGATGGTGCCCAGATACCATGATCGAACATTTAGATCAAAGATTCTATAGAAGAATCCTGATCAAAAAGAAGAAAATGCAGAACAGAATTTCAAATTCTCAAGGAATCCAGAATTTCTGGAGCCATGGAGGATGGATGAATCCCCAAAACGATTGCCCTGAGATAATCTTTAAACCTTAAACTAAAAACATACCCTGATGTCTTCTTAAAGCCAAACAATAGTATAGCTTAACTAGTAAAAAAAGGTCTGTCTTGGGCATTATGCTATTTTAAGATCTATCTATAAGGGATCAAACTGACAGTAATTCAAAAGGTTAGATAGGAAAATTTGGGGTTAGTGAGATTATGTTAATGGAGGAGGAACAACTCAGAAAAGGAGGATGAGAATGGCTGTACACTGTACAATATCACTGAATTGTACATGCAGAAACTGTTGAATTGGTGTATGTTCTGCTACATACATTCTCAACAACAAAAAAGTGACTTGAAAAATAAGTCTAAGCAATTGGCAGAAATCTTGACACCGGACCCCACAAAAAAGAATTGCAAAGAGCAAAAGTGCAGCTCTGGGTATATGATCTGTTGATAATTCTGTCTTCAAGCTGGAAAGAAAGCTGGCTAAGGGCTGGGAAAGTCATTATCGTGATTTCATTCTGCTCCCTCAGAGCCTAGCATGGCTTACAGCACAGAGCAGGAGTTTACTAAATATTTGCTTTCTATGAAGGCGTCTCAGGATAGATACTGCCATTTTAGCTCTGCAAAGACATTCTAAACCTAAGGTGAAAATGGAACCCAACGTAGGCACATTAAGCTAAAGAAAAAGTAAGAAAGACAGAACCCAAGACACATGGTCCAAGCTACAAGGTCATACAACTACAGATAGGCTAGGCCCAGACATTAGGTTAGAACAGGCTCAGCAAATAGCTGGTGACTCATGAGCCAGCTTTGTCCAACGGGGAGCAGAACAAAGAAGTGCCATGTTTACATAGGTAACAATACACAAACACCAGAACAGAAAAAGATAACCGGGAGCTTCTAAAAATCAAACATTTATGCTCATCAAAAGACTTTATCAAAAGAGTCAAAAGACAACCTACAGACTGGGAAAAAAATTTTGGCCACAACAAATCTGATCAGCATCTAATCTCTAAAATCTACAAGATGCTGCAAAACCTCAACAACAAAAAGACAAATAACCCAATTGAAAAATGGGCAAAGGATATGAACAGGCACTTCACCAAAGAAGACATTCAGGCAGCTAACAGACATATGAGGAAATGCTCATGATCATTAGCAATTAGAGAAATGCAAATCAAAACTACAATGAGATACCATCTCACCCCAACAAGGCTAGGGTTAATCCAAAAAACACAGAATAATAAACGTTGGAGAGGTTGTGGAGGGACAGGAACATTTACACACTGTTGGTGGGAATGTAAAATGGTACAACCACTTTGGAAAGCGATTTGGTGCTTCCTTAAAAAGCTAGAAATAGAAGTACCATACGATCCAGCAATCCCACTCCTTGGAATATATCCTGGAGAATTAAGAGCCATCACACGAATAGATATATGCACACTCATGTTCATTGCAGCGCTGTTCATGACAGCAAAAAGATGGAAACAACCTAGGTGCCCATCAATGGATGAATGGATAAACAAATTATGGTATATTCACACAATGGAATACTATGCAATGACAAAGAACAATGAGGAAAGGGTGAAACATCTTATAACATGGATGAATCTGGAAGGTATTATGCTGAGTGAATTTAGTCAGTCGCAAAAGGACAAATATTGTATAAGACCACTATTATAAGAACTCAAGAAAAGGTTTAAATGCAGAAGAAAACATTCTTGGATGGTTACAAAGGTGGAGAGGGAGGGAGAGGGGTATTCACTAACTAGAAAGCAGACAAGAATTATCTTAGGTGAAGGGAAGGACAGCACACACTACAGGGGAAGTCAGCACAACTGGACTAAACCAAAGCTAAGAAGTTTCCTGAATACAACCAAACACTTCAAGGGACAGAGCAGCAGAGGCAGGGGTCTGGGGACCATGGTTTCCGGGGACATCTAGGTCAATTGGTATAGCAAAGATTTTTAAGAAACTGTTCTGCATCCCACTTTGGTGAGTGGCATCTGGGGTCTTAAAAGCTAGTGAGTGGCCATCTAAGATGCATCAATTGTTCCCAACCGATGTGGAGTAAAGGAGAATGAAGAACACCAAAGATACAAATAAAGTACTAGCCCAAGAGACAGAAAGGGCCACATAAACCAGAGACTTCATCAGCCTGAGACAAGAAGAACTGGATGGTGCCAGCTACCAGCAATGACCGCCCTGACAGGGAACCCAACAGAGAGTCCCTGATGGAGCAGGAAAAAAGTAAAAAGACCAGGCTTAATGGTTTGATTGAGACTGGAGGAACCCTGAAAGACATGGCCCCTGGACTCTCTGTTAGAACAAAACTAAAACCATTCCAGAGGCCAACTCTTCAGACAAAGATTAGAGTGGACTATGGGACATAAAACGATACTCATGAGGAGTGCACTTCTTAGCTCAAGTAGGTACATGAGACTAAATGGGCAGCTCCTATCCAGATGCGAGATGAGAAGGCAGAGAGGGTCAGGAGCTGGTTGAATTGACATGGGAAATCCGGGGTAGAAAGAAAGAGTGTGCTATCACAGTATAGGGAGAGCAACTAGGGTCACAAAACAATGTATGTATAAATTTTTGTATGAGAGACTAACTTGAATTGTAAACTTAAAGCATAACAATAAAAAAAAAAAAAAAAGTGCTATGTTTACAGTGAGGAAGGCAGTGGGGGCCAGATTGCAGAGGGCCTTGTAAGGAAGGGGGGGGTCTGGATTTTATATTAAGTTCTTCCCATTAAGGATCAATATTTATAATATTCTTCAATGCCCAGGCTAACTATGAGAAAGTCAAAAACCCTTCAGGAAAGCCACACTAACCTGTATAAAGTCGATAACATTTCCCTGAGCGGTTACGACCACCACGCCCTGCTCGCTGGTTGGCTGAGGCCTGGGACACCGGGACCACCACCAAGCATTCAATAGCTGTTCTGGGATTGTAGGCACGGAGTTTCATGAAGCCGCAGTCAATCACATATACAATCCCGCTGATGGTGATGGAGGTTTCTGCCACATTGGTGGCCACTATCACCTAAATTCCCCACCGAGAAAAGAGTAAGGATAAAAGTTACCTGACTCTTTTCACTTCTAATAAACCATTAAAAATCCCAAAGACTTAAAGACATTTCCAACATTATAGACATTGTGAGAGGCAGTTGGTTATACTGCAAAGGCAAGAGTTTTGGAGTCAGGGGTGCTGCACTTGAATTCTCCCTAACTGTGTGACCTCAGACATGTTACATGACCTCTTGAGTATCAGTTTCCTCTTCTATAAAATATTTACCCTGAGTTATTGCAGGGACTAAATAAGAAATATACATAAAGTGAGAAAAGCCTAATACTTGGTACGTAATAAATATTCAACAAATGTTAGTTGTTCCCTTTGCACAACTAAAGTAAATCACCACCTTGTACATGTATATTCATTGACTCGCTCAGACAGTAACTATTTTCTGAGGGTCTGTGCCCTGCCAGGCACTGTTCAAGGAGCTGGGGATGTACTGATGAACAAGACAGACAGGTCCCTGTGCTCCTGGAGTTCCCATTCTAGTGTGAGTCTCTGGGTGGAGAAATGGTGAACACAAACAAGGAGATAAATTCAGGGAGTGACAAATACTGTGAAGGAAGTCCAGCAAGATAATGTTATAAGACAGAGGCTGGAGGGTGCTACTTTAGATTCGGTGGCCAGGGCACACCTCTCTAAAAGATGACTTTGACCTGGGACCTGAGTAAGAAGAAGCCAATCATGTAGAGATTCAGGATGAAGAAACAGTTCAAATGAAGAGGAAACAGCCAGCACTCGGCCAGAACAGATTAAGAGGCAAAGTAGCACAAATGAGGTTGGGGAGGCAGGCAGGGACCGGATCATGCAGCGCCTTGTGGGCCACCATGAAGGGTTTGTATTTTATTCCAAGTACACGGACAGCTGCCACTGGAGGGTTTTAAGCAGCAGGGGACATGCACACACACGTATATACATGTCACTTAGGGCTTTTTTCAGGTACTTCTACATCTATATTTTATAAAAATCTTCCTAACATTTTTGTGAAGTAGAGAGTCAAGATTTTATATTTACAAAACCATCTTTCTAACGTTATTATTATTTGTGTTTTACACCTAAGAAAACTGAGGCTTTAGGTTAAATAATTCATTCAAGGGTGCAGCGTAATTCAGGCATGAAATCCAGGTCTCCTGCAATTCATGTCTGATGAATAGGTTTGAGTTGGTCCATCCTGATAACCAAGAGACGGAGCAAGTCCTGCCAGTTGTTGGAGACTGCTTGTGGATCTCTGATCACCCCTCACCTACTTTACACTCTGCCACCTGATGGTAAATAGCTACTGCAAGCTGACTGCAGGCCTGTTCTGTGTATTCCTCCCCCAATGGAAAGGGAGAGCAGAGTAAGGCCCACACGGATGATGAGCAGTAGGCAGACTAGCTGCCTGCTAGCTCCTTCACACTGAGGCTTCCACCGCACCCTTCTCCACCCCAATTTCAAGGTGAGGTATTTTAAAGCCACACCTTGAACTAACTAATTTAAAGTTGGCACTACAGGCAAACTGATGTTCAAAGCAAATGGTTTAGAAGTCATTTGTAGTCATTTATCTTTTGTTCCTGACTAATCACAATGCACCAAAACAGTCCCTCAAGCCAAGACAGCTTCATGTCACAGGGTAAATTAGGCAGGCAGAAAAAAACCAAATAAAGGTTACCATCAGGGTGGCCCTTCTATGGGGCAGGTTTATAAATCTATGTATAGTTTCAACAACAATAAAAAAAAATCTTTCCAGTACATAGCAAGGGGCACCAATATGATTATAGGTAGCTGCAAACACCCTGGGTCATCGAGATATTCTTACCTTCCTGACACTGCGTGGCACTCGTTCAAACACTTTCATTTGCTCAAAGGAAGGCAGTCCTGAATACATGGGGAGAACTCGGAGGTGTCTCTTCATCCCAGTGCGAGCCAGCTCTCGAGCGTGCTCGATTAGCATAGACACAACAGTTTCTACCTCTTCCTAAAAACATGGAACCAGGAACCAAAGAATCTGAGATCAGTTCAAAGCATGCCATTTTATCATACTGAAAGAAAACAAAAATTGGGGTCAAGATTCTAACTTTGGTCAGATTCATGGATTTCAGTTCTATCGCAGTCCACTCTGGGGAGGCATTTAATCAAATACTACTGAACAATGGTGCCAATGGCATGAATATTTGTAACTGTAATATGAGTTATTGAAATTTATACTAAACACAATGAGTCCCTGATAAATAAAAACAATAACTATTTTACGTAGTTTTTACATACAGTGGCAAACAAAGCATTTCATGGGTGTGGACAAGCTGTGGCACATAAAATCACAGTAAGCTCTCCCCAGAAAAGATTACTGAACTGTGGAAAACGTTTGACAGTGGAAAAGATTACAGCAGAGGGTAGTTCGGAACAGTGCTAGAACCCTGAGTGAGCACGTGGGCAGTGCTTGTTCAGATGTTTTTCCAGTAAGGTGGTCACTTCCCACCTCCAGGATGAGCCATAAGGGTGCCACTGGGAAAGGAGGCAGGTGGCAGCAAGATGTGCCGAATGCAAAATTCAATTTCAGCAAACAAAACTGTCTGTTGACTGAACTCCCTAATTTATTTTGGAATCTGCTAATAAATTTAAAATACAATGAACCCTCTGCAGACAGAACAGGCAGGAGCCAATGCCTCCCTGACGATCTAATCAGTAGATAAATGACATCAATCCAAAAAATGTTCAGGGAATTACACAACCACAGAACACAACAAAACATGAAATAAATGGGTAAACAAAGCACCAGGCGTCTGTATCAATTTTGGCACTGCCGTAGCGTGTCTGCTGATCACACAGCAAAGGTCCAATGGAATTACCTGGCCAGTAAGAAATGCTAATATGTCTCCATCGCCCTCTGTCTGGTGAATTTTCATCACAGTTTCCACAGTTGATTTGATATAATCTGGAACAGGACTGAAAAAAATGTATGGGATAAATAAATCACTATGATATGCTCGTAATGATATAGAACAATTACCCTAATAATCTGGCAGCAAAGCCTCATGAAAGTTAGTTTGGGCCTGCCCAGCAGGGAATTAGTATATGGATGAATGAAATATTCACTCTTTTTTTTTTTAAATGCAGCATTAAAAAATAATCCATAATTACAAGTAAACTATGATTTTTAGCTTTATTTGTAAATAAATAAAATATAATAAACACATGCAAACAGGCATGCTGTCCTTAGCATGCGAAGATCCCTGGCAAGTGAACATCAGGGCTGTGGCTCCAATGCTGAACCCCACAATCTCTTGAGCCTATTTTCCTTCCTGACCACTGGATGCATGGATGGAGCTGATGGGTGTTCTCTACAGCCAGAACAACTCAGAAGACAAGCCCACTACTCTCTGGATTTACCAACCACTGGACTAGGCTCCTAGTCTTTGTTTGCCCAGTCAGTAGGTAGATGTAAGAATTAGGATGGCCCCTTTCCTGTCCAAATGGGAGTCCCTGGGTACAGCAAACGGTTAAACACTGGGCTGCTAACCAAAAGGTTGGTAGTTCAAACCCACCCAGAGGCACCTTGGAAGAAAGGTCTGGAGATCTGCTTCCAAAAGGTCACAGTTATGAAAACCCTATGAAGCACACTTCTACTCTGACACACATGGTGTTGCCATGAGTTGGAACCAACCAATGGCAACTGGTTTGATTTTGGCTTTCCTTACTGTCCGAGGAGGCTCCTCCCAGAAAAGCTGACCGCTTTCTTGCTAAGGATGTAAAGAGCTAAGAACCAAATGATTCAATTCACCAATTTGACCCCAGTTCTGAGAACTATTAAGTTTTACTAGAATGTTCTCTCCACCAATTTATACAAACTTACACATCAGTTTCAAGAGTTTAAACTAAATCAGTGGTGACGCTGAGCAGGGTTCCAGAGTATCAAATTGATGAAGGGAGACACAAAGCATCACGAGCGTGGCAAGGCACCCTTGGGGCCGTGTGCAGATGCAGTTTCTCATCATTCCACATGACAGGTCTAGTTTCTAACCACCATCACTAAGGATTCAAGTATCATCAAACCTTTGCAGATAAAAGATATCCACTGGAAACGTTCGCCCTTCCACTGTAAGGATCACACACGTATCTCTGGTCGGGTCACTGGTTTCATTTTGATTAAAGAAATCTCGAAATTTCTAAAATTAAAAAAAAAAATCAATTCTTCATTCCTCTTAAAAAACAGTTCATAGTAATTCATGAAAAGAAAGAAAATATAAAACTGACAGAGCAAAGGTGGTAGTGGGGATTAGATATGTAATACAGACTATGGGTTGCAAAAGCATAAAAAACAAATTCATATTTTTTTATCGCAATTTTTGGGGAATCACATTGCAATGACAGACTCTTTGCTAAAGGTTTGATAAGAATAATAAAGACAAGATGTCAAAATTGCATTTACTATGCATCTAAGTTAACGTGTAGCTATGGTATTATTTATCTTATTCCTATCCCCTGTATTTCACTTAACTGAAAATTAAGTCAAAAGGTATAATTCAGGTTAAATCAGGTTGATATGTAGCTCCAATCAGGAAAGCATAGACCTGAACACACAAGGTATCAATTTATAAAGGAAACTTTTACTTCCGTGAACTCTTTAACAGTAAGTATGTACCACGGACTGGCAAAAGAACGAACAAATCTATCTTGGAAGAAGTACAGCCAGGATGCTCCTTAGAAGCGAGGATGGCCAGACTTCATCTCATGTGCTTTTGGACATGTTCTCAGGAGGGACCAGTCCCTGGAGAAGGACATCATGCTTGGTAAAGTAGAGGGTCAGCAAAAGAGGAAGACCCTCAGTGAGATGGACTGACACAGTGGCTGCAACAATGGGCTCAAGCATAACAGTGACTGTGAGGATGGCACAGGCCCAGGCAGTGTTTCGTTCTGTTGTACATAGGGTCGCTACGAGTCAGAACCAACTTGACGGCATCTAACAACAACAACATGTTCCTGGCACCACAGTTACACATCTATATTTACTATAACCTTCCCAGTAGATTTGAGGCCACTTCATGGCAGGGACGGTGTCTTCCTCATCTATATATGCCCTACAGGAGCTAGCACAATGTGTTATATGATTTTGTAGGTCATCAATTAGATACTTCTCTGACACTCCCACTGTAGCCTGTTGAGAGAAGTGGCTGTCAGCAGTTCCTCCCAAACAGGTGGCCACAGTCTATACAGTGGCACCTGGCCACCAGAGCTGCAGCCTGTAAGGAGGACTGGGACAAGCTCTGGCCAATGATGGGAAAGGGGGAGACTCAACCAAAGATCCCTCTTGGGGATTGTGAGCCCAAGATACATAGAGAGCAGGGTAAGGGTCTGCAGTAGCAGGATCAGGTGCTGAAACCAAGAAGAGCTAGGTGACTACGCTGTCAGAGGAGCCTTGACGGGAAGCTGCTGAGGGTACACAGACATCCTGTCTAGTGGAATATTCCATTATTTGATTCTGAATGACCTTCTCTTTCCCCGACTATTTCTCAGTTTCCCTGAGCCCTTGCTGGGCTTGACTTTCTGTTCTTCTGTGAGGCCTGGCGATACGATCCCAGGTCCTGTCTTCCTTATTTCCCCATGTATCTTTACAAAACATGCCCATCTCGGCTCCTTGAAACCCAGGAGCCCAGGAGGTGCACTGATGAACTGCATCAAATACAAAGTGAATGTACTTGGAAGAGTACTTCTAAAAGAGTAAACTGGATTTAACTACAAAATACTGGCATGCTATACATTAACCTCAAAGTTGTGGAAGAAGATTAAGCACAGACATAAAAGTGTTTTATGCCACCAAAGAACTATGTTGTCCTATGCAGAATTCCATAGGGCACCATTCTTTACTTAATTTCTTTTGGGTAAATTCACTTCAAGTCACTTCAACCCTCCTGCATTCCTATGATATGCACAGTACAGGCCCATTAGAAAGGATGAGCAAGCAAGTGAGAACAGACCCCCATGCCCCAAAGGAGAAAATAATCCAGGGGGAGACTGACGTGCAAAGAACCAATTATAAAATAAACCCTGAGCAGAATGACTAAATGGCCAAAAAAGAGCTGTAAATTACAATCTGAGAGAGTGAAAAGATCAATAATTGCTGGCTTTAGGAAAGGCTTCATAAAGGAGGCAGCATCCCTGGGCTGAGCCTTAAAGGATGACGAGGCTGAGAACTGGCTGGGGAGGGGAACAGACACCCCTTCCCAGGATAAGAGCAGAGTGTGGGCTGAGACGTGAAGAGGCCTCTGGCTGAGCAGAGCCCGAGGTCTACGGCAGGCCAGCCTCACCACTGCATTCTCTCTACAAAATGGACATACTGCTAACTCTCCTGCAAGGCTGTTGTGCAATTTAAATAGAGTGCGCGTGAAAGTACTTGGCACAGGTGTGGCCTAGAATGGTATTCAGTGAGTAGCCGAAGGGGCCTGAATGCCACCCTGTGCAAGCGCTTTATCTGTTGGGCAAGACAAGGGCGGTAAGGAAGGGCATGATTTTATCGTCCTGTGCTCTGGGTGCTGACTCTGGAGATGAGCAGGGGAGATAAGACCTTGGAAGCAAGCACGCTAAGGAAGTTATTCTAATGTAATGATTCAGGGGCAAACCGCACAGGGGCAGCATTAAAGCAAAGCATTTCAGAGGTAAAACTGACAGGACCTGGCAATTAGTGAGCGTGCTCACCATACATGCAGGGTGGGGAGAAGGAGGGAATGACCTCTTAGTCAATCAGGGCTAAAAAATTCCCACAGCAACAGAGGCCTCAAGCCTGAATGACTATAATGAGAGAGGGGCTGAGACAGAGAAGCAGAGAGCCCAGGTTTGTAGAAGGAGGTGAGTTTAGCAATGCTCAGTGACTGGGCAGCTGCTGGGCGGCAGAGGCTGGAGCCCAGGAGCACAGTCACACTGCCACCAGCACACAGTGTCAGCTGAGTCAGGGGCCATGAGGGAGGCGGCCTGAGAGGAGGGGCAGCAAGGCCCCAGAAGCTACAAGGCAGAGGAGGAGGAAGATTTTACGAAGGGTTTGGTGGACAGAGCTGAATGCTACCAAAAAGGCAAGTGGAACAGGGAGGAAGATGGTGCCTTAACGATTTCGTTGGAGTAGATGGCTAAACCTTAGCTGTTAAGGAATATGAAATGCTGGAAGAGTAAAGATATGGAGCTACTCTTTCAAGAAATAAAATCCAACATTTGCTGAGAGGCCTTAAAATCTTTATCCTTAAGATATTTACCATTCATCTTTATTTGGAAATACAAAATATATACACACAGAAGCTATAGGCTAGAAAGCAAGTAAGTATAGCACCAACAGTGCATGACTCTTAGGCAGAACGAAGAAACAGGAAGAGTTAAAGGAGTTCAACGCATCTGGAAGAGAAGAATTTTGAGTTTTATGAAGCAAACGCAATTTAAATGGTGTGGACATCTGCTGGGTGTCTCTCCAGTTCACAGTAATTCCCTTTCCTGGTAGCTACTCCCACCTGACCCACAGAAGTGGGCTCCCAGCAGCCATGTCTATACCAGGGCTTCAAACCAGCTCCTTCTGGTTCGAACCCCTGCTGAGAATTTGCATTCTAACAACTTCCCAGGAAGCTGTACATAAGAATCATCTGGGGATCTTGTTAAACTGTAGATGCTGAGTCAGTGTATCTGGGGTGCAAATGCAAATTCTCAGCAGTGAACTTGTTAGAAATGCAAATTCTCAGCATGAGTTCCAACAGAAAGGAACCAATTCGAAGCCCTGGTCTATACAATATTCCCAGCCGTTGGCCAACACCCCTTAGCCTATGCAGATTGGTTGGGGGTTGTGGGGGAGTACCTGACCCCAGCTGACCCCAAGATCCTTCCCCAGGAATCTGGAAAGAGCAATTAGTCTCTCTCCAAGTAGCTGGACCTGTGACAAAAAACTGTGGGAGCTGTCAGCAACGACATTTTCTACCATGTGGATGGAAGCAAATAAAAGACAAACAACAGCATATGACACGATGGTAATAAACACTTCGTAATTATACCTGGTCGTGTTATCTAGATGCTCGCTTAATTAGGCTTACATTAACAAGGCAACTAAACTAATTACGGCAACTATTTGATTAGCCCCCGTCCTATTCGGCTTCCCTCTGCCTGCCAGCTGCAATCGCTGGTGTCTTCATCTGCAGGCTGGGCCCGGCCCAGGCCCTGAGAGAAACCAGGGCAGGCAGATTATCAGCAGACCTATTCTTCTGGGCAGTGAGGCTTGGAATTAGTCTGACTCTCACAGCTCCAGAAGCTGGAGGTACCAAGAATGAGCTCTGGGTACAACTGTGGCTTCTAGGTCAAAATGCTACCTAAACCACACCCTGCCCAACCCCGACTCACACTCTTTCCACTTTCTTCCTCTTCTGCCATTTCTCTTCTTCACTCTCTTCCTCTCACTTGTGAACCCATATATCACACCCCACAGGGACCCCTGCCCACCCACACAAAGTGACCCACACACATAGATCCCTCCACCCCACACACAGATCACCCCTCATACACACACAGACCTCAACTCCCCCCTAACAGAGAAGGCACTAGATATGCAGGTGAGGAAGGGATAAAGCAATTAATGGTCCTAGCCCACGGAGGGCCCAGCTGAATGGTACTGAAGCCCCAGCATGCCTCGCATCACAGCATACCCAATCTATAATGAATTTTCTACATTTTATCTTCCCACGTGTTATGGATTGAATTGTGTCCCCCAAAATGTATGTTGAAGTCCTAACCTCTGCGCCAGTGAATGTGACCTTGATTGGGAAATAGAGAGTTTCTTTGCAGAGTTATCAGTCAAATTCATGAAGTTATACCGGAGTAGGGTGGGTCCTGTCATGGATTGAATTGTGTCCCCAGAAAATATGTGTATCAATTTGGCTAGGCCATGATTCTCAGTATTGTGTGATTGTCCACCATTTTGTCATCTGATGTGATTGTCTTATGTGCTATAAATCCTATCTATCACTATAATATTAATGAATTGGATTATCAACAATTATGTTGATGAGATCTACAAGATTAGATTATGTCTTAAGTCAATCTCTTTTGAGATATAAAAGAGAGAAGCAAGCAGAGAGACAGGGGGACCTCATACCACCAAGAAAGTAATGCATGCGGGCAGAGCCCTTCCTTTAGACTCAAGGTTCCTGTGCAGAGAAGCTCCTAGACTGGAGGAAGACTGATGACAAAGACCTTCCTCCAGAGCCCAACAGAGAGAGAAAGCTTTCCTCTGGAGCTGATGCCCTCAATCTGAACTTCTAGCCTACTAGACTGCAAAAGAATAAATTTCTCTTTGTTAAAGCCATCCACTGGTGGTATTTCTGTTATAACAGCACTAGATAACGAAGACAGTCCTAATCCTAATCTCTTCCAAGTGGCATCTTATTAAAAAGAACAGACACAGGGAAAGACAGACACGATGTGACGACAGAAGCAGATGCATCTATAAGCAGCAAAGGAATGCCAAGGATTGCTGGCAGCCACCAGAAACCAGGAGAGAGGCATGGAAAAGTTCCTCTCTCAAAGCCCTCATAAGGAATCAGCATGGCCAATACCCTGATTTGGACTTCTAGCCTCCAGTACTTCGAGACAATAAACTTCTATTCTTTAAAGCTACCCACTTGGTGGTCTTTTGTTATGGCGGGGAAGCCCTGGTGGCACAGCAGTGAAGTGCTACTACGGCTGCTAACAAAAAGGTCAGCAGTTCAAATCCACCAACTGCTCCTCGGAAACTCTATGGGGCAGTTCTACTCTGTCCTACACGGTCACTATGAGTCGGGATCGACTCAATGGCAACCGGGTTTTACGGGTTATGGCAGCCCTAGGAAACTGAGACATCACTTTAAAAAATTCCATCTATATCAACTACTGTAGACAGAACTGAAAGAAGTTATTTTTTGAAATCCCTATGCCAAGCCAAAAGACCATAAATAAAAGATAATTGTGAGCAATTATTAATTAACAATGATTTGAAGAAAAGACTTAGACATTATAGTTTCCAAACACAACAGAAACTGTAGGCTACATATCTATAGCCAACTGATTTTTCACAAGGGTGCCAAGTCCATTCAATGGGGAAAGAATAATCTCTTCAATAAATGGCGCTGGGACAACTGGATCTCCACATGCAAAAGAATGAAGTTGGACCCATACCTCACACCATAATATGAAAATTAACTCAGAATGGATCAATGACTTAAATAGAAGAACTAAATCCATAAACTCTTATAAGAACATATTGTGGTAAAACTTCAACATCTTGTTTTTGACAATGGATTCTTAGATATGACACCAAAAGCATGAACAACAAAAGAAAAATTTAGGGGTATCAAAGGACTTTATCAAAAAGTGAAGGGACAACCTACAGAATGGGAGAAAATATTTGGAAATCATGTATCTGATAAGGGTTTAATATCCAGAATACATAAAGAACACCTACAACTCAACAACAAAAAGACAATCTAATTAAAAAATGGGCAAAGGACTTGAACAAACATTTCTCCAAAGAAGATATACAAATGGCCAATAAGCACATGAAAAGATGCTCAACATCATTAGTCGTTAGGAAAATGTAAATCAAAACCACAATGAGATATCACCTCAGACCCACTAGGATGGCTATTATCAGAAAACAAGTGTTGTCAAGAATGCGGAAAATTGGAACCCTTGTGCATTGCTGGTGGGAATGTAAAACGGTACATCAAAAACATTTGGCGGTTCCTCAGAAGGTTAAACGTAAAATTACCACATGACCCAGCAATTCCACTCCTAGGTATATACCCAAGAGACTTGAAAGCAAGAACTCAAACAAATACCTCTACACCAATGTGCACTGCAGCATTTTACCCACAATAGCTAAAAGGCGGAAACAACTCAAGTGTCCATCAACAGATGAATGGATAAACAAAATGTGGTATATACATACAATTAAATATTATTTAACCATACAGAGCAACGAAGTACATGCTGAAACATGCTACAATATAGATGAACCTTGAAAATATTATGTTGAGTGAAGTAAGACATAAAAGGACAAATACTGCATAATCCCACCTATATGAAATATCTGGAACAGGCAAATACATAGAGACAAAAGTTTATTAGTGGTTACCAGGGGTTAGGAGCCCTGTTGGCACAGTAGTTAAGAGCTCAGGCTACTAACCAAAAGGTTGACAGTTCAAATCTACCAGTCACTCCTTGGAAACCCCATGAGGCGGTTTTACTCTGTCCTATAGGGTCGCTATGAGTCGAAATCGACTGGACAGCAACGGGTTTGGTTTTTTGTTTTTTTTTTTAACCAGGGGTTAGGGGGAGGAAGGAGGATGAACGAGAATTATTGCTGAAGGGATACTAACTTCCTGTTTGGGGTGATGTAAAACTTTTAGAAATGGATAGTGGTGATGGTAGCACAACACGGCAGAAGTAATTAATGTCACTGGATTGTACAATTAAAAATGGTTAAAATGGCAAACTTTTTGTTATACATATTTTTTACCATAATAAAATTAAAATCAAATTACAAGAAAAAAGTTTAAGAATAAGTTTAAAAAGAAAGAAGACGCTCTGTGTAATGGAGCCACGGAGGAGATAAGAGAAGGTGAGGTCAGGTATAGTCCCTGAAATAGTCCTCCGGCAGGTATCATGAAGGAGATGAGGATGAGCTAAAGAGGACAACAAAGGGACTCAGACCCAAAAGTCAGCATGGGCAGACCTAAGACAACAGAATCCTGTAGCCTGTGAAAAGGCCTGAGAAACCATCCCAGACACACACGCAAACACCTCTCTTATCCATGCTGAGCTTTTTCTCTCTGCAAGTTGTTCTGCATCCCTGAAGCCATGGGGAGGTCAGGAACTCGGTCCTTTTCATATCTCACCTGGATTACAGAACTGGCTTCCTGAATGGTATCTCCAACTCCACTCTTGTTTCTTCTACACAGCACCCTAAGTGATCTTTCTAGAACCCAAATATGATCAAGTCACTGCCCTCCCTCACATCTCTCATGGCTCCTGACCCAGTACAGGATGGAGCCCATCCTCCTTTGCTTGGCCTGTAGGCCTTCCCTGATCTGACCCTGCCAGCCTCTCCATTTTAATCCCCTATTGCTTCCCATTCAGTTAAAATTCATTCAATCCGAGTGCCTACTCTATACCAGACAGACACTGTTGTACAGGCACAGGATAAAATAATAAATAACACAGTCAAAATCCCTATCTTCATGGAGCTTACATTTTAGTGATGGGAGACATACAATAAACAAACACTTGGAAATGCATGTTAGGTAATGATAAACACTAAAAAGAAAATAATATTAAGAGTAAGAGGATAGAGAAAAATAGGGCACTGTTTTAAGACAGGGTGCTCACGAAAGGCCTCTCTGAGGAGATAATGTCTGAGCAAGACTGGAATGAAAAAAGGGTTGAGCCATGAGAACACCTGGGAGAAAAATGTTCTAGAAAGAGGGTCCCCACCCCAGAGCAGAAACATGCTTGTGTATTTTGACGAACAGCAAGGGGACCGAAGTGGCTGGAGTGTAGGGAGTGCTGGAAGAACTGCAAGGAGATGAATTCAGAGAGGTGGCTGGGGGATAAATCACCCCGGACACCTTGAAGACAAGGTAAGACCTTACACTTGATTCACAGCTCCTGAACGCATGGTTTCGTGCCCCTGTGCCTCTCGGCAAAGTTAAGATGCCTTTCCCCACCCTTGCCCAGCTGGCAAACTTCTGTACCTCCTCCTTCAAACCCAGCAGTCACCTCCTCTGTGAAAGATTCTGAACGCCCCTACCCTGATGTCCTTCAGCACCTCCTTGGACTGCCCCAGCACCTTGAACACTCTTGTACTGAATACACTCATCACACTGAGCTGGAACCATCTATCTATGTGTCTGTTTCCTCTGAGAAGTCAGGGAGTATAGGAATCATCCATATCCAGAACTGTGCTTAACATGTATAGAGCAAGTGGCCAAAAATATTTGTTGAGTTTAATTACTATTTTAACTAAAATGCTAGTTATCAAGGGAGAAAAATAATGTAAACTTAGCCCAGAAATTTATAACACTTATATGTACAGGGGAAAACTCAATTGCACAAAAAATCTAAATATATATGCTATAAACCAAACTCACTGCTGTCGAGTTGATTACAACATATAGCAAGACTATACTACAGACTACAACTGCCCCATATGGTTTCCAAGGCTGTAATCTTTACCGAAGCAGACTGCCCCATCTCTCTCCCACGGAGCAGCTACTGGCTTCGAACCACTGATCTTTCAGTTAGCAGCTAAGTGCTTTTAACCACTGCACCACCAGGGCTTCTATATATGCTATCGTCATAATAAATTCAAGAAATATAGCCTCATACTGAAAAAAGTAATAAAAAGAAGCTGCCTATGTGGGGAGAAATATAGTATGTAGAGAAACAAGACAAGTAGGTAATTATAAACTCAAATTATTTCCACCCACATAGAATCTAGGACATCAGCTGGCCCTATAAGGAAAGTAGGCTATTCTGGCAAGGACAAGTTCTTGCTGGAGGTAACTTCCCTACAATGTGTCCACCAATTCCAGTGTGAGATCTTACCTCTGCATCCAGAGTGGCTGAGGCCACAATCAAGCGGAGATCCCCTCGCTTTTTCTGAATCTACAAAAGAAGGCAGCAGGAAATAATGACCACGCTGAACTATTTATGGATCAAATAATTTGATGTCTGGAACTACTATTCAAAATAATCCAGTGCGTGTATTTTTCTGGTAGAGAGACGGGCCTACAGAAGAAACAAGACTGAGCATAAATTAATCATGGTTAAAGTCATAGGCAAAAGGAGGTTCATTGTATTTTTTCTAATTTTGCAAATGTTTGAAAATTTCCAAGATAAAAAGATTTTTAAAAAAATGTTTCAGAGGAAGTATAAAGGAACTTTAAGACCTGAATTTGAATTTACTTAGAATGAAACCATTTTTCCCTGACACCTTGATCTCTGTATAGTCAGAATCTATATATATATGGTTAAGTATGAAATCATACATCGAAAGCAAACAAATAAAAAATGGTAACACTAAGACAGAAATATGGAAAAAGTTATTAACAAGTATTCAAAGAAACATACATAATCAACAGGCTTATCAGACATGATCAAATAAACGAATAGTGAAAATATATAATAATAATGAGATCATTGTTTTCATCTATCCCATTGGCAAGGATTTATTTTTTTTAAGGCTAATAGTATTGGCAAAGGTTCAATGAAACAGGTCCTCTTATATACTGTTCCTGGGAAGGTAATCAATTGGTGGGATAATTCCTAGCAGGCATCAGAAAGTGTTTTATTCCCCTTTGTCCAGGGAATAAAATAATAATGAAAATAACAATAACAACAGCAGCCAACATATACTGAAATATGTGCCATTCTAGGGCCAAAACGTACAGTTGTGTAGTGTATGCACTGCAAAAAGATACCTGGCTGAGTCTGGTGGCATCTGGAATCTAGCCCACCCTCCACTAGCTATGGACATCGTTCCAGAGGAGGCATCTTTTTCTATTCTGCACAAAGCCACCTTATAGGCTAGTTGTAACCCTGAGCCAGGCACCATTTTGAGAGTTTGACATCATGTCATTTAAGCCTCACAACTTAGGATCTAGATCAGGTCTGCACAACAGAACTCTCTGCAACCATGTAGATGTTCTATATCTGCACTGCCCAGTACAGTAGCCTACTAGTCACCTGTGGCTATTGTGCCCTTGAAATGTAGACAATGTAACTGAAATATTAATTGCATTCTATTTTAATTAATTTAACTCTAAATAGCCACAGGTGGCTAGTGGCTACACTATAAGACCACAGGACAGGACAGATATAAAGAGTATTCTTATCCTCATTTTAGAGATGAGTAAATGGAGTTGCAGAGAGGCTAGGTAACCTGACCAAGGTTACACGGCCAACAGAGGGGCAGAGTCAAGGATCTGAATTCAGGAAGTCTGGCACAGAGCCCAGCATGCTCTTTATCACCTGCTCTATCACCTCTTTCTAGACTCCTGTGATTGGGAATTTGCCCAAAGAAAACAATCAGAAAATATGGGGAAGGGTAAGAGTGACGCAGAGCTGAAACAAGATTGGTCATGAGTTACAATTGTTGAAGCTGGATGATGGGCACGTAAAGGTTTATTATATTCGTCTCTCTACTTTGTAAGAAATTTAAAATCTTCTATAACAGAAAGTTAAAAAAGAAACAAAAGCAACACATTTAACTACGAGGGTATTCATTGCATCATTATTCAAAACACTTAAAATCTGAAAAGCAAATAAATGTCTAATAGTAGAAAAAGAGTTAAATACTTCATGGTAGAGACATGTGATTATATAGCCATTAAAAATAATGTCCTCAAAGAATATTTAATGACACAGGAAAATGATCTTGATGATCCTGGTGATCTTTAAGGGAAGAACGCAACACAAAAAATTAGAAAATACAATACAATCCCTATTACACTTAAACAGGTATGTGCCACACACACAGACACACACAGAAAAAAGAGAAAAAAACATACTGACATTTTAACAGTGGCGTCTCTGAGTGAGTGGAATATGGGTGATTTTAATATTTTCCTTTGTATTTTGAAGGATTTTCCAAATTGCTATAATTACTTTCGTAAACGGGCAAAACACACAAAACAGAACAATAAAAGTGTGACAGAAAAGTCATACCTTTTTTAACAAGCCAATGGCAATGTCGGTGTACAAGGTCCTCTCATGAGCTTCATCCAGCATGATGGCACTAAGAATCAAGAAGGAAGATGTCAGTGAGCATTCAAACAAACCACCCCATATTCTCCTACCCAGACCACCAAAGAGACATGCAATCGCCTGTATCAAAAGTAAAACAAAGTAACTCCTGGGACAATGAGGTATTCATAAACTAATAAAAACAGTGGCCTTAACACATCTTTGTGAAGAAAATGGTCTATTTATTGCCATCTCCAAAGAGTTTTTATCACCATCACTGGATTCCAATAGGATTTAACATCTGATTTTAAGTTACAATATGACACGTAACCCCACACAGCACATAAAAATCAGAACAAGGCCCAACCCCCTGAAGACTGTTAAGCTGTAGAAAACAGAACAAAGAGGCACATGATCACAGCTGCATCACGTGTATACCAGGCAATCATAGGTGACACCCCTTCCCAGAGAACTGAAAAGCCTGTGTGGGATACCTAGTGCTAAAGGGATACACAAAGACACACAAGGAGGGAGAAAGTGATCAGTAATTATTTGGACCCTGCATATTACATTCAACAAAACAGTGTGTAGTTCTAATCTGCGCTAAGATTCCGCAGTCACAACCAATCCTGGAATATGACGGGCAAGATAAAAAGAACAAGTTAAGGACGGTTTAAATAATGACAGGAGTCTTAATGTGCCCACTGATGTCTGTAAATGGCCTTGTTACCTAAATTCTAAGAGAAACATCAAAGGTTGCAGCAGCCAAGGTAAGGAGAAAAGCTCTGGGGCAGTAGAATGCAGATGCAAATCCAAGCTATAACACAACTATTTGTGTACTTTCAGAACATTAGGAAAATCATCATAGGAAAAGCACACTTACCTATATTTTGTTAACAAAGGGTCAACCATCATTTCCCTGACCAGCATTCCATCGGTCAGAAACTGAAAAATAAAAACACGGAGTTTCAGAAATAATTCATTTACACTGTATCATAATGATTAAAAAAAAAAGGTTCAAGTGCAACTAAATGTGTACAACCTCTTCACAAGCATGTTTAAAGACAACTCCCCACAAGGACTGTGAGGAAATGCACCAATGTTTTAGCACTAGAAGTGTCCACAAACAAAACTTCAAACATGGGATCCTCCTGGAGCCTGCAAATCTCTTAGCAGAACTTCACCTGCATTTACCATCTGAACATTGGCCAGGCCCTATTTCCTCTGAGCTTTTCTTTACCACCGGTACTACAGACGAACAGGCGGTGAAAACAACCTGTGTCCGCCCAAGGGAACTCTGTGAGTCTGACATAGTTGTTCTTCAAAGTTCCCAGAGACTGCAGACTTGCAGCTCTTGAGATTATTAACCCCGACTTCAAATTATATTATTTTATTGAGGCGGGATGCGGGGATGGGTTTGAAGGAGCCTGCTGTGCAGTAGTTAGGTGCTCAGCTGCTAACCAAAAGGTCAGCTGTTCAAACCCACAAGCTGCTCCACGAGAGAAAAATGTGGCAGTCTGCTTCCGTAAAGTTTACGGCCTTGGAAATCCTATGCGGCAGTTCTACTCTGTCCTACAGGGTCGCTATAAGTCAGAATCAACTCAGCAGCAACAGGTTTGGTTTGGATGAGACTGTGGCTAAGAACATGGGCTGCGGTGTCAGACTGCTGGGCTTCAGATTCTGGCTCTACCCCTTACTAGCTGTGTGAACCTGCGGCAAGTTACTTACCCTTTCTGAGCCTGATTCCTCATTTGTAAAATGGAGGTAATAAGAGATCTACCTCACAAGGTTACTGTCAGAATTAAGTGAAATAGTATATGTTTAGCACAGAGCCTAGCACAGAAATAGTGTTCAATGAATGTCAGCTATTATTATTTAGGATTAATGAACATTTATAAAATGCTTTAGAAATATATGGTAACAACTGGACATTGTTACTCTCAATG